TTAAATTTCTTTTTTATGTGCAATTGATTTCCCCTGCGTGGGCGTGTTTTCTTGCTCCTGTCTTCTTAAACTGTTTATAAATTAATAAAAACATTGAAATACAAAAAGGTGGGCAGTGTTTTCTTGCTCCTGTCTTCTTAAACTGTTTATAAATTAATAAAAACATTGAAATCAGTCAGAAGGGTACAAAAGAATTTCCAAGGCATTAGATATACTATGGAAGATCGTGAAGACAGTCATCAAGTGGAGAAAATGTGGCGCAACAGTGACATTACCAAGAACTGGATGTCCCTCCAAAATTGCTGAATAGACAAGAAGAAAACTGCTCTGGGAGGCTTCCAAGAGGCCTACAGAAACATTAAAGGAGCTGCAGGAATATCTGGCAATTACTGGCTGTGCGGTACAACAATCTCCCGTATTCTTCATATGTCTGGGCTATGGGGTAGAGTGGCAAGACTGAAGCCTTTTCTTATGAAGAAAAACATCCAAGCCCGGCTAAATTTTGCAGAAACACATCTAAAGTCTCCCAAAAGCGTATGGGAAAATGTGTTCTGGTCTGATGAAACCAAGGTTGAACTTTTTGGCCATAATTACAAAAGATATGTTTGGCGCAAAAACAACACTGCACATCACCAATAGAACACCATACCCACAGTGAAGCATGGTGGTGGGCAGCATCATGCTTTGGGGCTGTTTTTCTTCAGCTGGAACTGGGGCCTTAGTCAAGGTGCAGAGAATTATGAACAGTTCCAAATACCAGTCAATATTGGCACAAAACTTTCAGGCCTCTGCTAGAAAGCTGAACATGAAGAGGAACTTCATCTTTCAGCATGATAATGACCCAAAGCATACATCCAAATCCACAAAGGAATGGCTTCACCAGAAGAAGATTAAAGTTTTGGAATGGCCCAGCCAGAGCCCAAACCTGAATCCGATCGAAAATCTGTGGGGTGATCTGAAGAGGGCTGTGCACAGGAGATGCCCTCATAATCTGACAGATTTGGAGTGTTTTTGCAAGGAAGAGTGGGCAAAGATTGCCAAGTCAAGATGTGCCATGCTGATAGACTCATCCCCAAAAAGACTGAGTGCTGGAATCAAATCAAAAGGTGCTTCAACAAAGTATTAGTATAAGGGTGTGCACACTTATGCAACCATATTATTTTAGTTTATTTTACTTCCCTTCACTTAAAAGATTTCAGTTTGTTGTACAGCTGAGTTGTACAGTTTGTTACATTAAAGGTGGAAAGAAGTTCTGAAATTATTTTTGTCTCATTTTTTTACATCCCAGAAATCTGACATTTTAACAGGGGTGTGTAGACTTTTTATATCCACTGTAAACACATCTGGAGGTTGGGAACAGTGTAAAGCTCAATTCATTGGACCATAATACAGTCTTCCATTTATCGATAGTCCACGATTTATGGGTGTTGTACTACTCTCTCTCTCTCTGAGCATAAATATCGGTCAATAGTGGGCTGGCTATTGCAGCTCACCTGTGAATATTTCGCTTATGGAGTTCCCTCTGCACAGTTTTTGTGGACACAGGCTTTGGAAGACTGAGATTGAGCTCTGTATTCAATTTTGCAGCAGTTGTTTTCTTTTTCCGGGTCGCAATCTTTTTGTCTCTTTGGTCAGTTGACCATGTCAACCGCGCTTATACTTACCACACTGTTTTCCTGGAAACTATATGCCGTCATAACCTTTGATACTGTACCTCATAACACCGCAAATAAGTTAGCAACTTTAGTCACTGAGCCACCAGCTAAGCGGGCACCAACAATTTGCCCTCTTTGAAGCTCAGTAAGCTCTGACATGAATTTGTATTACTAGCAGCACACGCATTGAATAATGAAAGTGAGGTTTCCCACCTGTTAGCTAGGTGTCTCATCACACAGTGGAAACAAAAGCAACATCACATCTGTAAATCATGTAGTGTTTCTATAGATTTAATAATGTTGCTTTCAGGATGCTCTGCAGATTTGGGGTGGTGATCACCAGTGGGGCAACTATGTCTCTGAAACCGCATTTAGGACCAGTGTGTGTGCGCACGTTGATGTCATCAGTGCATGCATGACATCCATTTTAAGTCCCCCTGGTGCCAATTGCACACATGGGAAGCACTCTTCCAAGTCCTCAACTTATATAATCATCTCCTTCTACAAGATAGGTGGCACTGGCAGCAAGTCTCCCTTCCTAGCTGCAATCTCTTCAAATAACTGGGGCAGACTGTACTGGGGGTATACTAAGCTGCTTGGGGGTTTATTTACTAAAGCTGGAGAGTGCAAAATTAGGCTCACTTCTGCTTAGAAACTAATCAGCTTCTAACCTCAGCTTGTTCAATTAAACTTTGGCAATAAAACCTGGAAGCTGATTGGTTTCCTTGCAGAAGTGAGCCTGTTTTTTGCACTCTCCAGTTTTAGTAAATAAATCTCTTGGTGTTTTGCTGCAGGTATACACTCCTAACTGGTTGACCATTCTACATGTTCAGAGTTCAGGCCTGTTAGCTTTCAACAAAACATGGCAGAATACAGGCAGAGGTGTGTGGTAGAGGTAGAACAAAGGGGTGGGCTCCCAAATCTCTTTCTCATGGGAGGGCCCATCGTAAAGTTCACTGATCCAGAGGATCCATTTGTTGGATAATACTTAGCAGGGTTCCTGAAAGCCTTGACCTTCTGGGCAGGATGCTTTGGAAGATTTTGTTAGGCAACTCTTTAGACTTGGTGTTATGCCTGTCCACATGAGGTGAATTGTGCGACTCAAGTGTTGGTCTGCTGAACGTCCCTGTAAGAAGATCGAGCAGCTATATCCTGGGCTGTCAATGGATGAATTCAACCTCAAGGGGACTGGGGAAAAAAAAATCAAGCTTTTGCCCCTGATGAAGAAGAAATACTGGCAAGTCAAATATCGGGACCTTCTTCAGCTGCAAAAAAAAAAAAAAACAGTCCTTTCATCAACCACAGGGTAACCAACCTGTTCCAAAAGAAGAGCTTGAACTCCAAGGCCCAGAGCCAAGTTCTCTTCCCAGGGAAGGGGCACTGCCTTGGGGGATGCTTGTCCTTCACATCTGTCTGGACTCGGGATATCATAGACAAATGGGGCCAAGGTGTAGGGTCAAGAGGTTACAAGCTGGAATGGTGAAGCTTTCCCCCTTCTCGAATATCTCCTTGGATCCTCAAAGAAGAGCAACTTTCTTTGCAGTGCTGGACAGGTTCCTGTCTCCATAGTAGAAGGCTCATGGCTTCTATTTGAACCTGTTAATGGTTCCAAAGCCAAACAGAGACATCTGGCCTATTCTGGACCTCAAGGATCTCAACAAGTTCTTGCAAGGGTGCCGCTCCTCTGCAGTGATAAGACTTACTTCCCCTTTGCTGCTAGGAACCTAAGAGTCGCTCATACAGCATCTTAGCCATTCAGGAAGCACCTTGTATGGTTTCCCCCTTCAACTCTTTATATTAAAGAGCAATGAATCATCAAAAACAGACACCTTGAAATTCACATTTGTTAGATCATTAGCCATCATATACAACATAGGCCGAAGCGCAAACAAAAGTAGATGAAGATCTGTGTTCATATAAAAAGGCTATTGGATTCTTCTCAAGGAACATAAGGTGTTCTCTGAGGGTGGAGCTTGTGATGTCATGTGCCCTGCCTCTCCACCTTAGCCAATCAGAGAACGCCTTCTCTCATTCACGCCCTAATGTCACCTTCCGGCTGCCCTTTAAGAGGTGGTGTGGCTTCACTTACATGTGACCGCTGTGATTGGTTCTCACAGCGCTCATATGATCAGGAGCCCATCCTGCTGGCTCCTGATTAGAAGCTGTGCCAAGAGGTGTCAGTGACAGCTCAGTGTGCTGGGAGCAGCCACTCTCTGCACACAACCTCGGCCTGCTGTAGACGCATACGTGATGTTAAAGCCCACCTTCTTTCTTGCTGGGTATTTGTGTTCCGTAGCTTGCAGGTAATGTCCATGGAGGGATATGTATTGAGGAGAGCGGCGCTGCCAGGTGAGCATAGCCAAACCTTTTACTGTGTTGACTATAGATAAGGACTCAAAGCTTTCTCTTGGGGCCACAGAAAACATACACCCATTTGTAGTAGGGTGCGGAAGGGTTGTAGCACCTGGCAATGTTGTTTCTGTTGCTGGCTCAGTAAATTCCCCACCTGTATGGGTGTCACAAGAACAGGAAATGATGGAACATTCCAAATGGAGTCGCAGATGGAAATAAAAACTAAGAAATGTAAAAAAAAAATTTTAAAATGGAACTTTTTTCTCTCAATTCCCATGGGCTCTTTTTAATCCTTAGGCTGTTAGCATTAATAGATGGGATAGTATATTGATTTTACTATTTTAAACATTTTTTTTTTTTAGTTATCTACTAGTTTCCAGGCCTAGGCAAAGTATATCCTACGTCCCAGGAGTCTTCAGGAGGGGTTTTCTCAGCTAAGCACACCCTCCTGTGACTTGCCTGAGCCAAGAGTAGATGGATTCCAGGAAGTAAATGCTACATGAATGATCTGCCCTTACTCAAGATGGCCACAGCCAGAAATGGTGGGGGTGGATGGATGGGGGGGGGGGGGGGGGTTTTAAGGGGTTTTCTCAGCAAAATCAAGTATGGAGACATGGATATACTGATGGATTTTCTTTGACTAATAAAAACGATTTAAATTGTGTTTTTAGTTTGTGGGGCTCAGACATGCTGTATTTTTGTTAAAAAAAAAAAATCGGCTGATGTAATTAGTTTTCCAATCCAGGTACAAGGCTCTCATGCTGGCTTGTCTCTGAGGGCAGGACATCATACTTTGTCTATCAGAAGGGGGAGAATCACTAGGCTGGAACCAGCCACAGACTGCACTACTATTAAACAGGCACCGCGAAGTTGCAGCTCAGCTTTGTTTGGCTCTGCAGAGCTTCCGTACTGGACGTAGAGAGCCGCGCATGCGCACTAGCAGAGCTGTGCTCAGTGTAGGAGCAGGCGGGTATAGGTGTGTTTGCAGGGAAGATGTCGGGGGGTCCGGCGGTACAGATCAGCATCGAGTCCTCGGCGGAGAAGCAGGTGCAGGAGGTGGGCCTGGATGGCTCCGAGACCTATGTACAGCCGCTGTCCATGTCCCAGAACCTGGCCCGCCTAGCCCAGCGCATAGACTTCCAGCAGGAGTCCGAGGAGGAGGAAGACGAGGTGGCCGGGCCCCGGGAGAATGACTGGGGGGAGCATGAGGACGAGGAGGGTGAGACCCCATTCCATCTGTACCCCCCCCCCCCATACAGTGTCCTTCTCTGACCTACACACACACACACACACACACACACACACACACACATCCACACCACCACCCCCCCCCCCCCCCCCCCCCCCCCATAACACCACCACATTGTATATAACGTATACTTGTATTCCCCCCCCCCCTGTATATCATCCCACCTGACCTGTATACCCCTCCCTGTATATAACCTATACCTGTATTACCCCCCTCCCCTACCCCCCTCCCTGTATATAACCTATACCTGTATTACCCCCCTCCCTGTATATAACGTATACGTGTATATCCCACCCCTCCCTGTATATAACGTATACTTGTATTACCCCCCTCCCTGTATATAACGTATACTTGTATTACCCCCCCTCCCTGTATATAACGTATACTTGTATATCCCACCCCTCCCTGTATATAACGTATACTTGTGTACCCCCCTTCCTGTATATAATGTATACCCCCCTCCTGCATATAATCTGTATTTGTATAACCCCCCTTTCCTCTGTATAATCTATACCTGTATACCCTCCTCCTGTATATGATCTATATTTGTATAACCCCCCTTTTCTCTATATAATCTATACCTGTATACCCCCCTTCCTGTATTCCATGTATCACTGCTCCCTAGCCTATGTATTGTTATGTATTATCCTATATACCTGAACCACCCCCACCCTGGGGCATTGTACCTCTGAATAAATGTATACTCCCCTCTTCCTCCCTCCATTTTCCCACCATGTAATCTCCCCCCTCCCTGTATAAACACTGGGGAGTGAGCAGAATCGGTAAAGCATTTGCGACACTTTTCTGTGGTATGGCCATCTAAAAGTCCTTTTGCTGCATTCATAAACCCGTCACCAGTTCTGGTAGCTTTACCGACACGTGGCAGATCCAGGCTCTTTTACAAAGTGGTTACATTGGCTACACCAGATTCAAAAAATATTTACCTCCAGTACATAGATGATAAAACTGGGGATAATAAAAGGGAGATTCGGGGGTAACCACTAATCTGAAACCTCCCAACCCATCTAACTCTTATACTAACTGCCCTGTAAAAGAAAGATGTGTTTACTTGCCTATTATCAGGGCTCTGGTCTGGGCGTGTGGTTAGCTCCCCTGTGCCGGCTGCAGGGGGAGAGGGAGCTCTGATAACGGATGGCCTATAGTAAACCAATAGGTGAGGTCAACACATAGGCATTCCATCCATGGATCGCTCTCTCCCCTCCCCTGTAGCTGGCACTGGGGGGGGCTCACATGACCAGAGCCCTCTGAGATTAGGCAAGTATATGCATCTTCCTTTTACAGGGTACACAGTATATGTGTTTAGAAGGGGGTGGGAGGCAGTTTTAATGTGGTTCTCAAGCTAACACTTTTTCTTTCCTTTAATAAATTTCATTCATTAAGGAAAAAAGTTTTCCATAACCCAGTCCAATCTCCCATCCCCCCCCCCCCCCCCCCCCAAACCACCTGAGTCCTGGATGAATCCAGCGCTGTGCCCGTCTACCGTTTTTTCCCGTGTCTTTCTCTTCTCACAGGAGGATTGGGCAGCAGTGGAAGCCGTTGGCTCCTGCTGCTGTCTGCCAAATACAAAGAATTTGCTTTTAGAAACTCTTTAGGCTTCGTGATACCCCGGAGTGATCCATGAGTGATTCTGCAACAGACTGCGGGAGCTGTCAGTCTCCCATTGCTTTAATATGATTTCCACATACAGCTAATTGTCAGGAACCCCCACTGGGCCTCCTGCATGTAATCACTAGCATCCCCAATTGTGAATGGGGCCTACATCCCCACATTTGTGCCTGTCTTCTATACATTGTTTGTGTGCCCTCATGTCCCTCTTCTGTCATTTTCATGTTTCCATTGCAGGTTTGATCAAGTTCCAGCCATCGCTGTGGCCCTGGGACTCCGTAAGAAACCATCTGCGTGGAACCCTGACTGAGATGTGTGTATTGTATGATGTGCTGACCATAGTGAAGGACAAGAGGTACATGCACCTGGACCCGGTCTCCCAGGAAGCTCTCACCCCTAAGCAGGTATTACCAGGGACATTTCCTGAAGGTTTGTCTCCTCTCACAGCAGCCTTGTCATTTTAATTTGGATATTAGAACATTTTACTTTGTCTGCAAGGTAACGTATCTTTCACATGAAGAAGTTATCTACAGTATAACCATCACTTTTTTTCCCAGGAATCTTAAGGCGGGACTAAACCCTTCCATGAAGAGATGATTTTTCAAAAATCACCTAAAAGCAGACAGAGTAAGAGCTGTACAGATTGGGGTAGGGAGTTCCAGTGGATGGGAAAGGCTCTGGAGGGGAACATGGGAAGAGGTGTTGAGGGAGCTAGAATGAAGGGTTTGGTATTGTGAGAGGATGTTGGTGATGTAGTCGGGGGCAGAGTTTTGAATGGCTTTGTAAGTCTTTGTTAATATTTTGAATTTTATTTGTTGGGCAACCAGAGGCCAGTGGAGGGATTGGCAGAGAGGGACATTGAACAAGGAGCGGTTGGTTAATTGGAAGAGTCTGGCAGCAGTATTTATGGTAGACTTAAGTGACACTAAAGCTTTGTTTTTTTTTTATTTTTTAAAAACAAACATGTTATACTTGCCTGCTCTGTGCACTGGTTTTGCACAGAGCAGCCTCTTTTCAGGACCCCGCTAGCGCTCTTGGCTCCTCTCCCTCAAGCAGTGCCCCCAGGGAAAGCCGCTTGCACTGGGGCACCACTGCTCTATGCGTCCATAGGACACAGCCGTGGCTTGGCTCACTGGCTGTGATTGACAGCAGCGGGAGCTAATGGGCTCCCACTGCTGTCTCAGCCAATGAGGAGGAAGAGTCCCCAACGTGTCGCTGGATCAGAGGTGGCTCAGGTAAGGATTGAGAGGGGGGGCTGTTGTACACAAGCTTTTTTACCTTCATGCATAGAATACATGAAGGTAAAAAACCTTGAGCATTTATGACCACTTTAAAGGGGAATAGTCTGTGTAGAGGTAGGCTAATGAGGAGGTTGTACTAGTATGTACAGTTATTGGATGTGGGGCTGAAAGGAGAGGTCAGAGGACAGGATTACATTTAGCACCCTGGCATGAGGAAAGGGACTGATAATTGTGCTATTAATCTTGATGGTAATGTTGTGGGGAAGGGGCATGGGTGGAAATCTTATGAACTCTGTTCTTAATCCCTGTACAGACTGGTTGAATATCAGTCAATATTGGCTGGTTCAGTAGAAACAGACCGACATTCGGTCTATGTGTACACCCGTCTGCCTGACAGAAGCCACACAATTGGACATACTGGAAAACCAGCATCCAGTCAGTGCTGGCAGTTGTGCTTTCCTGGGGGGGAGCGGGCGGTGCAGTCCTCTTGTCAGAACATAATAGCTCAGTGGTCAGATCGCTGTACTAACATTGGATAGTTAGTACAGTGAGCTCCTCCCGAGCTCTTCAGTTTCTTTTTTGTGTTTTATAAATAATGAGGGGAAATTATTAAAACTGAAGCAGCCGGAATCTGGAGCAGGAGCGGGTGGTCAACTGTGGAAGGCAGTTTAAAGGTCTTCTAGTAAGAGTGCGAAGTAATGAACTTTTGGATTTAGCAGTTAGGAAGTCATTAGTGAGTTTTATAGAAGGGCAGTTTCTGTTGAATGTTGTCACCCAAAGCCAAATTGTAAGGAGTCAAGAAGATTGTTATAAATGAGGTAACCGCTCGGACAGTTCTAGGTATTCTAGAATTTTGGAGGAAAATGGGAGCAAGGAGATGGATCTTAGGTTGGTGGGAGACCAGTGCATTTAAAAAAAAAAAAAAAAAAAAAAAAAAAAGTGGAGTGGAAGATAACAGTAGAGAGTGAGATGTTGAAGATATGAGTAAGAGAGCATAGAGTGGAACAAAAAGGTGCCCGGAGTAGTAGAAAAGGATCCAGGGGCAGGTGGTGTGGTGGGTATCAGAGAAAAGTAGTTTCCTCTACAGTGAGGAGGTCAAAAGAGGAAAGTGTTTATACAGTGAAGGAAATAAGTATTTGATCCCCTGCTGATTTTGAATGTGTGCCCACTCACAAAGAAATGATCAGTCTAAAAATCGAATGGTAGGTGTATTGTAACACTGAGAGACAGAATAGCAACAAAAAATTCAAAAGAAATTCATATCAAATTATGCACTGATTTGCATGTTCATGAGGGAAGTAAGTATGTATTTGATCCCCTATCATTCAGCAGGATTTCAGGCTACCGGGTGTCTTTCATACAGGTTACAAGCTGAGATTAGAAGCAGTCCATGAAAGTGAGTGCTTCTAATCTCATTTTGTTACCTGTATAAAAGACACCTGTCCGCAGGAGCAATCAAACAATCAGATTCCAAACTCGCCACCATGGCAGAGACCAAAGAGCTGTCCAAGGACGTCAGGGACAAGATTGTAGACCTACACAAGGCTGGACTGGGCTACCAAACTATCGCCAAGCAGCTTGGTGAGAAGGTGACAACAGTTGGTGCAATCATTCGCAAATGGAAGAAACACAAAACAGCTGTCAGTCTCCCTAGGTCTGGTGCACCATGCAAGATCTCGTGGAGTGTCAATGATCATGAGAACAGTGAGGAATCATTCCAGACCTACACGTGAGGATCTTGTCAATGATCTGCAGGCAGCTGGGACCACAGTCACCAAGAAAACAATTGGTAAACACACTACGCCGACAAGGATTGAAATCCTGCAGTGCCCGCAAGGTCCCTCTGCTCAAGAAAGCACATTTCCAGGCCCGTCTGAAGTTTGCCACTGAAGATCTGAATGATGCAGAGGAGGACTGGTTGAAAGTGTTGTGGTCAGATGAGTCCAAAATCGAGCTCTTTGGTATCAACTCAACTGGGCGTGTTTGGAGGAGGAGGAATGCTGCCTGTGACCCCAAGAACACCATCCCAACTGTCAAACATAGTGGTGGAAACATTCTGCTTTGGGGGTGTTTTCTGCTAAGGGGACAGGACAACTGCACCGCATCAAAGGGACGATGGACAGGGCAATGTACCGTCAAATCTTGGGTGAGAACCTTCTTCCCTCAGCCAGGGCATTGAAAATGGGTCATGGATGGGTGTTCCAGCATGACAATGACCCAAAACACACGCCAAGGCAACAAAGGAGTGGCTCAAGAAGAAGCACATTAAGGTCCTGGAGTGGCCTAGCCAGTCTCTAGACCTTAATCCGTTTGAAAATCTGTGGAGGGAGCTGAAAGTTCGAGTTGCCAAACGTCAGCCACCAAAGCTTAATGACTTGGAGAGGATCTGCCAAGAGGAGTGGGCCAAAATCCCTCCTGAGATGTGTGCAAACCTGGTAGCCAACTACAGGAAACATCTGACCTCTGTGATTGCCAACAAGGGATTTGCCACCAAGTGCTAAGTCATGTTTTGTGAAGGGGATCAAATACATATTTCCCTCATGAACATGCACATCAGTGCATAATTTGTTAGACATGCATTTGTTTTGAATTTTTTGTTGCTATTCTGTCTCTAAGTATTACGATACATCTACCATTCGATTTTTAGACTGATCATTTCTTTGTGAGTGGGCAAACGGTCAAAATCAGCAGGGGATCAAATACTTATTTCCTTCACTGCATGTGGTGGTAGAAATGATTCTTGACCCACTCACTTTATTTACTTCAAGTAGAACTGAGGTCAAAGTCAAGATTTGTTATAAGATAATGTATAATTGTTGAGCCTAAAGAGTTAACTTGAAAATTTTCATTTTGTATTGAATTACTCCTGAAAAGTAGCAGTGTACTTCCTACTACATGAGAGTACCTAGGCACTCTTATGCCTATAAAAGGGGTGGGCAAACTTTTTGACTTGAGGGCGCAATGGGTTCATATATTGGACCCGGGGGCCGGACCAAGAGTAGATGAATGATGTGTATGTGTCATCCATAGTAAGTATAGTAATATTCCCCCATAGTAAGCATAGTAATTCATCCCCCCTATAGTAATTCATCCCCCCTATAGTATTTCATCCCCCACAAGTAGTAAGCCAAGTCCCCCCTGTGTCAATTCACTTACCTTTGCTCCGCGCGTTCCTCTCGCCGTGTTCCCGCGCCGTTCCGGTCTTCAGGGTGGACTGAGAGGAGCCTAGCTCCCCTCCCCTCCCCTCACATTCGTCACGCTGCCCCGCCTACACACATCCTGACAGCCACATCCGCGGGGCGGATTAAAAGGTCCGCTGGGCTGTATACGGCCCGCGGGCCGTAGTTTGCCCATTGCTGGCCTACACCCTCATAGCTGTACATCTGCAGTATGAGATCTAAGGCACTGCTGTCTGACTGCTAGTCTCAGGAGATTTGGTGATGTCACTGGTGTGCTGTGCATTGTTGTTGGGGGGGTCTAGACCTGAGGAAGCAAAGCCCTGCCTTTACCTTCACACAGAGACACAGTGCAGACATGGTAAGTTAGTAAATGGGAGAAGATAAGCTTCAGGGCACCCCCGGCAACACTGGTCACTACTCTGTTGTCCTCTGACTTTTTAACCTCACTTCCAGTGTTCAGTTCCTGCAGCATCCGGTTAGATAAATTGAAGAATAGTCAGCATATGTCATCTGCGTAACTGTTCCAGGTCAATGATTTAAAGTGTTGAAGCCAAAGGTTGAGCCTAACAGCTAGATAAAGTGGTCCAAAAACTGCAGCCCCCCATATTTCTCTCATGACAGGTTCTCTTTAACCTTCCTGGAGGTATTCCCGAGTGTAGCTCGGGGTAAGGTTTCAGTACCACAAGCGGTAACCCCGAGCTACACTCGGGAATACCTTGCAGTGCTGCTCCGGGATCTCTTCTTCACTTACCTTGTCCTGCGCTCCCACGATGTCCCACCTGCAGTGTCCCCTGTAATGTCCTCCGGCGGATGCCAGCATCTATCTTCTGAGTTCCGTTCCCTGTGACGTCGGGACGTACGGGGGACGAAATGGCGGGAAATTTGAAAATCTTAAAAGTGACATTCACTAAAATCACATAGTAAAACATTACTGTATCAAACCATTTCACATACATTTTGTCCCGAGTGCTTTGTCCTGTGCCCTGCCTGCATTTTTACTGTTCTTTCTGTCTGGAAACTGAAAAACGTCCATGGCGTCCAAAAAGCGTCCCTTTATGTCAAAAGCAGTTTTAGACCAGCTAGAGAACAGCGATAGTAAATTAGAACCACTTGCAGAATTGAGTGATAATGATTTGTGGGGAGATTCACCATCAAACACTGAAAACAATTCTGCAACTAAGCTCAGTGATGTGCGAACTTGGTGCTATATTTCAAATTTCAGTGTTTTTGGTTCGATTATATTATTGAATTAAATGTATTATATTTTGTGATTATTTAAATTATAATTTATGATTTTGTTTCAAATTTTAACATACCCGGGATGTTTACTAGACTCTTGTTCGGACAGATTTCAGTGAGTTATTCCTAAATATTACAGGCCTACAATAAAAAAAACTACATATTTCCATGCAAAAAAATGTACCGTTTTGAGCACAGAAATATGGACATAATCAGAACACTTGGAGGTTAAGGATATCTTTTGCTGGTGTACTGGTAGGTTCTGTGAACACCCTTCAAGGCGTTTTAGTTGTGGTGGATCATAAATGAACAGAGGTCATTTTGTCTTTTCAGAATCAGCACAGCCTTTTACTGGTTTCCAAGAGGAAATCCCTCTTTGGGGCAGCACAGATCCTCATTAAAGGAGCCGAGCGTCTGTCCAAGTCTGTAGCAGAGAACCAGGAGAACAAGCGCCAGCGAGACTTTAATTCTGAACTGCTGAGGTTACGGCAGCATTGGAAGCTGAGGAAGCTGGGAGACAAAATCCTGGGAGACCTGAGCTACAGGAGTGCAGGTAACATTCTGACAAAATATGACTGGGTGTCTGTAGCACCTTCCCCTATGACACTGCTGCCATTGTCGGCACTATCGTTGTGGACAGAAGCATCCTAGAATAAAATATCTCCATCAGAAGGCTTTGTGTTGTGTTCAGTTGTGTCTTTATATTCTGCCGTTCCTTGGGGATTACCTAAGGAAATGGAGGTAGTTTGTGATGTGTCAGAGATCAGGAGGAATGGAATATGATGATTTCCTATAAATGCTTTGTAATTTCCCCCAAATGTGCTCAGTTGTCCCGTCTTCTGTGGACATCATCTATAAATAGTTATGTTTATTTAACCGTTTCCATACCGGGCACTTACCCCCTTCCTGCCCAGGCCATTTTTCAGGTCTCAGCGCTCACACTTTGAATGACAATTGCGCGGTCATGTTATTTTCTTCACACAACTAGAGCTTTCTTTTGGTGGTATTTAATCACCACTGGGGTTATTTTTTGCTAAATTAACAAAAAAAAAATGCCGAAAATTTTGAAAAAAAAACCCCACGGTTTTCTTTGTTTCTGTTTATAAACGTTTGCAAATAAATTTTTCATAAATTTAGGCCGAGATGTATTCTGCTACATGTCTTTGGTGAAAATAACCCAAATTAGGATGTGTTTTTTAGTTTGTAGGAAAGTTATAGAGTTCACAAACTATGGTATAGATCTAAAAAATTGATCAATCCTGAAGTACTGACAGCCAATCTAATTTCTTGAGGTCCAAGAATGTCAGAATAGTACAGATATCCCCCAAATGACCACTTTTTGCAAAGTAGACAGTCCGACTTACTTTATAAGAGGCATGGCGAGTTTTTTGAAGTTGTATTTTTTTTTTTGTCATTTTTCGGAAAATGAGAATTTTAAATTATTTTCACTAATTTATTTATTTATTTTTTTTAACACATACTGTCATCAGTGCAGTACAGCGTCGTCATATAACTGGCATGGCGGTGATCAGGGAAACTGACTAGTGACAGTATGAAAAAATATATATATACATTTTTTTTTTTTTTTTTTTTTTTCTTTTACTATGACCAAAGTAGTACAATGTTACCATTTTTTTGTGCTTAGCTGTGATTTGGACACAGCTAATCGCATGCCACAGCTGGGCTGTGATTGGCCCAGCTTGTGCATGTGATCGCTATGACCAGTCACAGCTACACACACTAGTATACAATGGATGGCATGAATGAAGCCATCCATTGTATACAACTGTTATGTGACCTGCTATGATTGGTCACAGCAGCCACATGGTAACGGCAACGGGGCGGCACTCGGATCTGTCATCGGCCGTGTCCGAGGTACACGGGCAGTGACAGATCGCGCGGCTCTGCAGGCGCGCAAACTGCGCATGCCTGGAAGGACGCCATATGGCGTCCACCGGGAACGCTAATGGATTTTGCCGGCCGCCATTCGGTCATTGGCCGGCGGCTAATGGTTAAAGCTGAGCAAAGCAATTATTGTCTAAATACATTCCTTGTGTGTGTTCTTCATTAAATTTGTGTACTTTGTGAATTCCATATCTGTGCAGTAATCCAGTGTAAACATTGTTTCTGTGCAGGGGTTTCCTGTAATAAAGACCAGTCACTGCGCTCCCTCTCTCTGTGCAGGGTGACTAGTCTTTTCTCTGCCCCCTCCTGTAGTGTTCTGTAGGCAGCCTGTAGTGGGTGGAGCTACTGGGTCCCCCCCACAGCTCTGCTTTCTGCACAGGTTATATTCAGCAGTGATGTCACTACCACTTTTACATGATAATATCTTGCCATCCAAACCACATGTGATTTTTCACATCTGTGCATACTTTAAATCCTATTCTGCTTCAGGAATATATGCTTTTGTTAGGCATAAAAAGGTTCTTTTAATATCCTCATACTTTTTTATCAGTCATTAGTCATTACCTGATGCATATACAGTAGGGACAAGTACACATCTAAATACGGTAGCTGATCATTCAGGTAATATTGTTGAAGTATATGTAAACCCAAGAATAAAAAGGTAATATGTTGTATCTTATCAGTCTTTAGATGTAGTATCTGAATTCGTTTTGTTTTTTTTTTTTTTTTTTTTTTTTTTTTTTTTTTTCTTCAAAATTCTTTTTGTGCACTGAAGTGCAACAATGTTTTTTGCTATCTTCTGTAACCTACAAAACCTCTCCCCACCAAGTAAGTCTTCATTCACACAGACCTATTTAAAGTGATATTAAAGGCAATTGGTCACCCGCCAGTGCTCCTGGCCTCTCCCTACTGCTGAGTGCCCCAGAGCAAGCAGTTTACTATGAAGACACCCAAGCAGACTCACTTCCAAGTCACTGTCAATTCACACACACAGCCGTGGCTTGGAACCGAAATGCATAAACATGCTCTCTTGGGTGATCTGAGCACATACACTGTTTTCAAAAGTAATGGGGCATCTGCCTTTTTTACACACACATGAACTTTAATGGCATCCCCGTCTTAGTCCGTAGGGCTCAATATTGAGTTGGCCGCCCTTTGCAGCTATAACAGCTTCAACTCTTCTGGGAAGGCTGTCCACAAGGTTTAGAGGGTGTCTATGGGAAGGTTTGACCGTTCTTCCAGAAGCGCATTTGTGAGGTCAGGCACTGATGTCGGACAAGAAGGCCTGGCTCTTGCAGTCTCCGCTCTAATTCATCCCAAAGGTGTTTTGTTTAGTTGAGGTGCAGGCCAGTCAAGTTCCCCCACACTCACTCATCCATGTCTTAATGGACCTTGCTTTGTGCACAGTCATGTTGCGACAGGAAGGGGCCATCTCCAAACTGTTCTCACAAAGTTGGGAGCATGAAATTTTTCAAAATGTCTTGGTATGCTGACGCCTTAAGGCTATGTTCACACTAGCATTGTGTGCAGGCGGCAGAGAGGCGTTTGGGAAGCGTTTTTACTGCTTCCCAAACGCCTCTGCCAATTCTGCACATTACAGTACATGGTGCTGTTCTAACGGGAGCGTTTGCGTCGCGGCAAAACAGACGCCTCTGGTCAAGTCAGGAGGCGTTGAAGCCTTCTATACTCATCTATGGTGCTGCTCCGCAAACGCCCGGCTGGCGTTTGCGGTGCGGTTTGCGGGGCATTTGCGGAGAGGTAACACCACTCAAACTGCATTATAGGCGTTTGTGGGGCGTTATTAACGCTCGGCAAACGCCTAGCAACCCCTGCTAAACCGCAAAAACAGCCAAGTGTGAAGGAGCCCTAAGAGTTCCTTTCATTGGAACTAAGGGGCCAAGACCAACGACTGGAAAAACAACCCCACACCATAATCCCCCCCCCCCCCCCCCCCCCCCACCAAACTTCACACTCAGCGCAATGCAGTCAGGCAAGTACTGTTGCAACCGCCAAATCCTAACACGTCGATCGGGATTTGCCAGACAGAGAAGCATGATTGGCCACTCCAGAGAACACGTCTCCACTGCTCTAGAGTCCAGTTGCAGCGTGCTTTACACCACAGCATCCGATACTTTGCATTGCACTTGGTGATATAAGGCTTGGATGCAGCTGCTCAGCCATGGAAACCCATTCCATGAAGCTCTCTATGCACTGTTGTGCTAACCTGAAAGCCACACAAAGTTCGGAGGTCTTTAGCTATGGACTCTGTGGACAGTTGGCGACTTCTGCGCACTGTGCGCTTCAGCATGTGCTGACCCACTCTCATTTCATGTGGCCGACCACATCATGGCTGAGTTACTGTTGTTCCCAGTTGCTTCCACTTTGTTATAATACCACTAACAGTTGACCGTGGAATATTTAGTAGCAAGGAAATGTCACAGATGGACTTATTGCACGTGTGACCACCTATCACGGTACCACGCTTGAATTCACTGAGCTCCTGAGAGCGACCCATTCTTTCACCAATGTTTGTAGAAGCAGTCTGCATACTTATGCAGGCCATACATGGGTCGAATTCCGAACAAATTTTCTTTAGAAAATTGGAAATTTTGTGCATTTTTAATCCGATGGTGCCACCATTGATTTTAAAATTCAACCATCCAAGTCTTTAATTTCACCTCATGTTGCTACAGAAAATAATTTTTGTGGCCACTAATGGTGCGAAATTCAAACAAAAATTCTCAGAAAAGATTTTTGAAAATTATTTCGGAATTCAACCAGTGTATGGCTGGCTTAAGGTGTTTGATTTTATACACTTGTGGCCGTGCAGGTGATTGGAACACATGAAAGCAATGATTTGGTGGGCTGTCACAATTCTTTTGACAGTAGTGTATCAGACGTGAAAATTTTTTTGATGCAGTCAGATTGTTCCCATACACCTCCTCATGGTATGGCCAACTTTAGTTTAGTTAGCCCTTGACTTCCAATATCCTCAGTCACAGCAACATTTTGAGATTTCTTCCTCCTCTATGCTCATTTTATACATGCCCTTTTTCTTTTTGCTATTTTATTTTCATGTAGGCTCGCTCTTTCCTCATCATGGAACATTTGAAGTTATAAAGAATACGGACATTGATCTGGATAAGAAAACCCCTGAGGACTACTGTCCACTGGATGTCCATATCCCCAGTGATTTGGAAGGCTCTGCTTATTTAAAGGTCTGTGTAACCCAAAATATACTATATACTTTGGAGAAGTGGTATGAGTGAGATGAGTACATTTTTCTTTTCTCTTTTTTTTTTTTTTTTTTTGACTCTTTTTGACTTCCAACGCTTGATCTACATGATTAATGTGACATTCAAAGCTTTAATCTGAACTCCAGGAAACATGAAAATTCTCCCTTGTAGTGGGGCTGTGCCCACTGCAAGACCTCCCTGCTCATTTAGGTCTAGGTGGCATGGAAAAGTATATTTACTTACCCCATCCTTAGGGTTGCCAGACTGGTCCATGAAGTGTCTTCTCCCCCAATTTTCTGGTGGTCGAATGTTCTGACATCAACACCGATGCAGTATCCATAGCTCCTCATGGGATTGAGGACACTAAGGGACAGAATGAGAGAGCTCTGTCTGCTTGGGGAATTCAAATTGAGTAAAATTGCCTTTTCTTTCCCTTAGATGAGGGGTCTCCAAACTATGGCCCTCCAGATGTTGAGGAACTGCAAGTCCCATGAGGCCTTGAAAGATTCTGAAAGGCAAGACTCCCAGAGGCATGATGGAACTTGTAGTACTTCAACAGCTGGACCATAGTTTGGAGACTCCTGCCCTAAACTGAACAAGCAGTTAATGCTTGCAGTGCTGGTGCAAAGGAGATTTTGCAAGTTTCCTGGAGTTCAGCTTTAATATTGAGTAACGTATGTGGGGTCTATGAAGACAGAAGCAGGGTGAGAGCCTAGGATAAGTGCAATGTGATAAGCCAGGACTCTGCTAGATGCTGCTGCTCTTCTTTTCGTGATCCCCATATAGCGTTCATAGGTGCACTAGTGTGTATGAATAGTTCCCAAATATGAGTCAGACTGAAGTGGGTAAAAATGGAAAATGTGTTACAAAAAAGGTTAACAAAAAGTAATACCTTTTTTAGGTAAGGCAGTGTGGGTTTTTTTCACTTGAATACATTTTAGACTTAGAGTATAACTAAAGGCAAAACTTTTTTTTTTTTTTTTAGTTTTGGGTAGAGTGGAGAGGGATCAAAATACTTGTCAGTTTTTATTGCTGTCTGTGCCCACATTGGGCTCTGTTTACAACTACTACAACCTGAAAGTCATGCAACTTATGGTGCGTCTTCTGCCAGTTGACTTCCTGGCGATTTGCTTGCCACTTGAGTAAGATTTTGATGTGCTACTTTCATGCCATGTGCTTTGCCTGGGTAATCTTCCTGTCATGTCAGCTCTAAATCACATCAATATAGAGCAGGGGTGCTCAACCTGTGGTCTGTGGGCCACATGTGGCCCTCGGAGCTCTCTGATGTGGCCCTCAAACCAGGGAAGTGCACTTCTATTATATCCTGCAGGTTTGGTGCACTTTTTAAAGTGCAGCTAACCTGCAGGAAAGCAACAGGTGCATTGTGCTGCAGTGCAGGTAAACCGCAGCACATCAGTGTGAAAGCAGCTTTATAGGAGCTCAGGACAGTAAAGGCTCGCTTTGCAGTTTGGGGGGTGATAAAATCCCATAGCTGAGGTACACATCCCCCAGCCACTGGTGTAGCATCAGGGGTCGCAATTATAACCCCACCTCATGCTCCATGGGGCCCATGTGTCCTCCCTGTCACATTCTGTTGTGCACTTAGACAGGGGTGTGGCACGGGTGGCATATACAGAAACCGATCCTCTTTATTTTCCTCTTTCAAATGCTAAAAGCTGGCTTCTCCTCCTCTCCGTCCCAATGGCATTCAGCGACTGCAAGCTGCAAGAGGAAAATATTCATTATGCTATTCAAAATTAAAAAAAAAAAAATCTAAATTTTGAGCCTTTCATTTCATTGTGGCCCATGACCGGTTACTAAATCACTTAGGTGGCCCCCGGTCTTCAAAAGGTTGAGCACTCCAGACGTAGAGGATCCGACTTGGAGGCAATTTCCATTAAAGTCTATGGGCACAAGACTGATAGAAGTCACCTTGAAGTAATACAGGAACCTTTTCTAAAGTCAGAGTGATTTCAGTGGTGCTAATTAAGACAGCTCTCATTGACTAACATGGGATTTCACATGCCACATGATTATCATGCCACTTGTGGTCTCACAAGTCAGATCCAATGTTGTGGCAGTGTGAACTGAGCCTAAAGGAGATTCATTCTTAATTTGTCGTGTTTGCCATTATTATTAAAAGTGAAAGTAAAAGAAAATCCCAAATTTTGGATTGTCTTCAGAAAAGTAATAGAGGGGAAATCTTCTAATGGGGACACTAGCTCTGGTGACCTGGGGGTCCCCAAGGAATTTCCTTAAATAGCAGAGATGTTTGGCTATGGGACAGGAAGTGATGGCAAATCTCTGCAATGGGACACAGATGGTGAAAAAAAAAAAAAACCTGATGGGTTATAATCCTCCCTTACTCTATCCAAAATGGGGGGGGGGGGGGAAAAAAGTTTTTGCCTGTAGCTCTACTTTAAATCTCAGTCAGGTATAGAACAAAGAAGATATTTAGTAAAAATAAACCGTTTTTAAATGTCTATACAATAAAAGTTAGGTATGGTATGTGCAATAATTTTCCTTGATCCTAGCACCCGTGCATCAGAAAATGTTTTGCCATTCTGAACCCAGAGAAGCTGGAGGCCGGTAGATTGGTGGTAATAAAAGGCATTACAATTAAATATATACTAAAAGTTTAGCAGAATTGTCAACTATATTTAAAATATCCATTCAAAGTATCAGTGCTACTTTTAATATAAAAGATTTATATCCCCCTCCACCACAGTTTCACAGTATAAATTGATCAATATAATAGTAATTATCTGATGTTTTTGTACTATAAAGGTTTGATTTTTTTTGACCCCATCCATGACAAGTGATTTTAAAGAAGAAAAAAAAAGCATGCTGCTGCTACTGACTGTTTTTTATACTGGCCATACACACATCCATTTTTGGATGAGAATATTCATACAAAATTCTTTGTACATTCGATGAATGTCATTTTGAAAATGTTACTTGCTTTTAACATTCAATTTTAAAATTTAATATAATTTCTTAACGAAAACCCACGTATACTGTCTGAAAATTCATTTGATCGAGAACTTTTCTATTCTGCTTCAAATTTTCCTGTCACTGTGGAAAAAATGGATGTCTGTTTTACCCTACTAACTATTAGAAAATGGAAGTAAAGTTCTTAAAATTAACATTTTCTAAGGAAAAATGTATTTGTGTATGTCCAGTATAAGTGACAGCAGCGCAGGTAGCTTGTGTCAAGCTACCCGCCTATGACAAGAGAATCTGCCATGCATGATATATTATTACAGTCCTGTCTGAAAAACAGTGTGTTCTTTTTAAAAAAATTTTCTTTTAAATAAAAAATTTTGATCTGATTATCTGTACCAGTTTTAACCTCCAATAGTATATACAGAGGTTAGACAAAAATATGGAGACACTACATGATTATTAGGTGTGAACAGGGGTGGACTGACCATTCGATCACTCGGGCACTGCCCAAGGGCCCGGGGTCAGTAAGGGGCCCCATGAGATGCCCCTGGTACCTTTTTCATAGGCTTTTTTTGGGTGTGGGCGAGGACACAGGGGCCCCATGATCCCTTATTGCCCAGGGGCCCCATGAGTTGTCAGTCTGCCCCTGGGTGTGAAAGTGATGACATGTTTTGCTTGAAAGTGGAAGTGATATAGCATTCTTTTGCTTCTGCTGTGTGACGAGACACCTAGTTATTAGGTGGGAAGCCTCACTTTCATCGTTTACTGCGTGCGCTGCTTGTACTATGAAGTCATGTCAGAGCTTACGGAGTTTCAGAGAGGGCAAATTGCTGGTGGTTAGCTGGAGCCGTGTTGCTAGGTACAGTATCAAAGGTTATGATGGCACTACAGTTTCCGGGAAAATTCCATCTGATAAACATAAGTGAAGTTGTCATGGTCAAATGATTGAGACAAAAGGACATTGTGCAAGATTGTGACCCGGAATAAGAAAACAACTGCTGCAAAAGTGACTGCAGAGCTCATTTTCAGTCCCATGAAGACGGAGATTGAGCTCTGCAGTCACTTCTGCAGCATTTTTTTTTTTTTTCCCCTTTTAACACCTGTATATCTCTCCTGTCAATCTGTGAGTGGACTAGATTCTTCCCAAACCATATACCTGATAATGTATATTCACCAATTATACAGCTATGCAAAAACAAATTGGTGTATATTTTGGTTAACCACTTCCTGCCCAGACCAATTTTCAGCTCTGTCGCACTTTGCCAATTGCGCAGTCATGCAACACTACCCATATGAAATTTTTATCATTTTTTTCCACACAAGTAGAGCTTTCTTTTGGTGGTTTTTTTTTTTTTTTTGTTGAGGTTTTTATCCGATTTTAAACAAAACAATAATTGACCAACTAATAGATTATGAAAATAATCAACAGTTACAGCCCTACAACAGATTTTTATTATTTTTACTCTTTCTGAAATTCCTCTGAGCAATCCAGTGGTACATTTCTTGCCTCCTAAACAGCAGCATAAAGTTTATTTAATGTTTGTTTTGTTTTATTTAGAAACAGTCTCCCTACTTACTCCTCTGGGGAAAATAAGACATTTTTCTTCTTTGTGCTTGAATGAGTATTCACTAAGATAAAATAGTGTGTGGTTTGCTACAGTCAGTAACAAGCTGTTGTAAATTCAAGAAATTGGGAATTAAAATGCAGAAACTGCAAATAGGGGACTGGTACTAGGGAGTAGGGATTGATGTGAACTGACAATGGTTCACTTTACTGGTTATTTTCTAGTAACGTTTAGGCTACATTCAAGTGTGCTTGTTTTTTGTTCCTTTTTTTTTTTTCAGTTAGCCCTCCGTCACATTGGGTGCGACTTGGCATGCCAGGTGACTTGCAAATCATATGCCAAGTCGCACCCTATCGTCCGCTATTAGAGCGGTCATATCGTTGCGGTTTCCGAGTTGGTCGGAGCCGCACCGATTTCTAAAGTAGTGCATGCACTACTTTTATTGCGATTTGCATAGACATCTGTAGGATGTATTGCAAATCGCAATGAAATCGGAAGGTCACCCAAATTTTGAAATCGTGCAACTTCACTGTAAGTCTCACGATTTCAAAATCAGCTTTTGATGTGACCGGGGTGTTAGGCGTTTTTGATCTGGCCAATAGAAACCTGTGTATAGGTGTCCAATGAAAAGCTGTTTGCATGTGTAAAACCAGCCTAGAAGTTGTGTTCATGCTCATCTTATGTCACATGTAAACAATGATTGAGACTGATCACCTGCCAGGATCACACTTCTGGAAAAGAATACAGGTGCAAAAGTTCTAAAGATAGATATGTTAAACAGTGGGAAATCATGCCTGAGTGACATGCCTTCAGGAAATGCTGTAGAAAAGTTCTAGGTACATACGACAGGAAAACAAGAATCAAGCACATGGCTGCTGGACAGAGGTACTGTACCTTTCTCCTTGATTTGGGGAGCAGCTCTTATAATGGGGATCCCTAGGATCATAGATGCAGGAGTGGCTACAAATTAGACCAATGAAGGTCTCCGCTGCCAGCAGCAAGCTCTCCTCTATTTTGAACACCAGATGTATGTTTATAAGGTATGCAGTGATGCTAGAGCAGAGGATGGGATCTGCTGATTGAGTTGAAATACCATGAAAAAAAAAATGCTCATTTCTTGCTGTTTAGGCATTTTCCATTGAGGTCTATAGGAACAAAAGTGCTAATTTTGCCTGAAAAGTAGATCACGGACTTTTTTTTGAGTGACATTTTGCTACAGACGATAAAACCAATGTGAACAGTGGCCATTGAAATGAATGAAGATTTCCTTGTTGAGCGTTTTTGAGCTTCAAGCTACAAAACGCTCAAGTGTGAATGAAGCCTTGAACCGCTTGCCGCCCTGCCACTGTGTATATACGTGTGCAGGGCGGCAGTGGAGCGCAAAACCACGTTTTTAAAACGGGTTCCACGCTCCCAACACTTTCGCCGGCAGGGGGCGCGCGTGCGCACTCCCGCCGACCCGCGGGTGACATGATTTGATCCAGGAGGGATCAATCATTAGATTTCAGCCAGTGATTTCTGGCTGAAATCACATGATCAGTCCCTGTCCTATCCTGTCCTGTGTTGACAAATACACAGGGCAGGATATGATGTCATTCTTCTCTGCCTGGACACATTCCACATCCAAAAAGTGAGTACACAAGCACTACATTACAGTTAGAACACTCTAGGACACATTTAACCCCCTGATCCCCCCCCCCCTAGTTAACCCTTCACTGCCCTGTCACCAGTGTCACTGATCAGTGAAGCGATTTTTACTGATCAGTGTCGCTGGCGACTTCCGATAGAGTTAGCGCCCCTCCCAGATAGCGCCAGATTGCCTGCTAATACACCAGTAATCCCGCTTAACCCCTTGATTGCCAGAGGCCCCCCCCCCCCCCCCCCCCCCCCCCCCCCCCCAGTTAACCCCTTCACTGCCCTGTCACCAGTGTCACTGATCAGTGAACTAATTTTTACCGATCACTGTATCAGTGTCGCTGGCGACTTCCGATAGTGTTAGCGCCCCTCCCAGATAGCGCCAGATTGCCCGCTAGTACACCAGTAATCCCATTTAACCCCTTAATCCCCTCACTGCTCTGTCACCAGTGTCACTGATCAGTGAACGATTTTTACTGATCACTGTATCCGTGTCGCTGGCGACTTCCGATAGTGTTAGCGCCCCTCCCTGATAGTGCCAGATTGCCCGCCAGTACACCAGTAATCCCGCTTAACCCCTTGATTGCCCCCCCCCCCCAGTTAACCCCTTCACTGCCCTGTCACCAGTGTCACTGATCGGTGAAACAATTTTTACCGATCACTGTATCAGTGTCGCTGGCGACTTCCGATAGTGTTAGCGCCCCTCCCAGATAGCGCCAGTTTGCCCGCTAGTGCACCAGAAATCCCATTTAACCCCTTGATCCCCCCTCCCCCCCCCAGTTAACCCCTTCACTGCCCTGTCACCAGTGTCATTGATTACATTGAACAGATTTTTACTGATCACTGTATTAGTGTCACTGGTGACTTCTGATAGTGTTAGCGCCCCTCCAGATAGCGCCAGTTTGCCCGCTAATGCACGGGATTTTTTTTTACCAAAAACATGTAGCAGAATACATTTTGGCTTAAATTTATGACTAACTTTGCGTTTACGATATATTTTTAATACCTGAAAGTAGAAAAATATTTTTTTTTTTTCAAAATTTTCGTGGTTTTTTTGTTTATAGCGCAAAAAATAAAAAGCGCACAGGTGATCAAATACCACCAAAAGAAAGCTCTATTTGTGTGAAAAAAAGGACGTAAATTTCGTTTGGGTACAGCATTGCATGACCGCGCAATTATCATTTGAATTAGTGCAGCGCCGAGTAGCAAAAAAAGGCCTGGTCATTAAGGGGGGTAAATCCTCGGGGGCTCAAGTGGTTAATTAACTTTTACTAACTTAAGTTTTTACTTCTGGTTCTGCTGGACAACCAGTGACTTGATTTTCCATTATCACAGGATGGTTGTAAGTAATGCCTTTTTGTTGCTGATATTTGCAGGTTTCCATTCAGAAGCAATCACCGGACATTGGTGACCTGGGCACAGTGAATTTGTTCAGACGTCCTATACCTAAAGCAAAACCAGGTACATGTGCTTTTGTAATATTTGTTATCCTACAGTGCATATTTATAAGGTTTTACAGCAGGATTACTATACATTGCTTAGCTTGACACAACATTTAGAATAAACAAAAGATGTGAGGAATCTGTTCTTTAGAGAGTACAGTGTAATAGGAACTGGGGAGAACATAAAAGTTAATATTACATTTCAAGAGAAACACACTCGTATGTATAATTTTGAAATCTATAGTAATAGTGCTTGACATGCCCTTAATAACATCAGGGCTGATTTCTGTGTATCTGAGCACAAAGATATAATGCTGAACCTTTTCCCGTCCGGCCCATGTACATAAACGGCCAGACGGGAACAGTGCAGGGGTGGGTTGCCGTTCATAAACGGGGCCCGCATTTACAGCCTGGGAGCACGCGGCACCACAATCCAGTGCCCCCTGTGTCCTCCGGACACAGTGAAACGCTGTACGGAACCTCTATATGAAGGTCCCGATCATGTGATCACTGATTGGCCAATCAATGATCGCATGAATAGTAGTAAACAAGATGACTTCATTGCTTACTACTAATGAAATCTGTGAATGATCACAGAGGTCACATGGTACAAGGCTATTCACAGCAGCCTTGTACCATGTGACAAGCTGTGACCAATCACAGCTCGCACAGTATTTCTCAATGGCTGCAAGAATGCAGCCAGAGAGAAGTGATTGCTTTTACAGCCTTTATGGATGTAAAAGCAATCGGTGTAAAAAAAAAAAAAAAAAAAAAAAAAAAAAAAAAAAATCATCACCCCCCCCACAAGTACTACAGTGTCACTATGGTGACTCTTTACTGCCAGGGTGACAGTATGTTAAAAAAAACATAAAAAAATAAAAATGTAAATCTTTTTTTACTAAAAAGATAATGGAATAAATTTTGGCCAAGATTTATGAAAGATTATTTATTTGCAAAATTTTATAAGAAAAACACTTTTTTTTTTTTTTTTTTTTTTCAAACTTTTTGGAATTTTTTATTTATATAGCAAATAAAATAAAAATCCCAGTGGTGAATAAATACCACCAAAATAAAGCTTTATCTGTCTCAAAAAAAAATGCTAAAAAATTAATATGGGTACAGTGTTGCATGACTGCGCAAATGTCATTCAAAGTGTGATAGCGCTGAAAGCTGAAAATTGGCCTGGACAGGAAGGGGGTAAAAGTGTCCGGACTTGAAGTGGTTAAAACAGAACTGACATGCTGCATATTGCCGAGTATAAAGTAGGACTTCACAGGCAAGTTTCTTCGCCACTGAGCGATGTAACCACTTGCTGACAGTTGTCTCGTTAGCAGCACCGTTAATTTTCTCCATCGCAAAGTGGTTCAGTTGCTTATATAATCCCTGATCCTGCTGTGTTTGCTAGGATTAGAAGACAATCTAATGTGCTTGGCACCAGTGTACACTCTTGCCTGAGCGTTGCAAGGGGGGAAAAAGTGATTTTAAATTGATTGCGATGAGGAAAAATGTTAAAATGACTGATTGCACACCCTTCAGGTCAGTATGCAGTAGCTGCACAAGCCTAAAGAAAAGGACAGGCTGCATTCAAATAAAAATTCAAACGGTGACTTCATTCACCTGGACAACATGAACAGAGTCCCTGGCTGGGTCTGCCTCCATTGTTGCCTTTCACCCTCAAAACTGGGTTTATTTGTAAGATTAAATCTCTACAATTAAGCTCAGCTGTGTGAGTGAAACCGTTGCAGTGTGTGGGGTGCAGGGTAGGCACCTGCTGGCATTTAGCACTCGATCCTCCTTGAGGGTGACCCAATTTAGGGTTTGAGAGCCACAAACCCTATACACTTGCCAGTGTAATGGATGCACCTTTGACCGAAATTACACTCTTGAGCCTATGTGGGTAAATCTGTGCAGGTTTTTTTTTTTTTCCGGTGTCCCTTAGCTACAGCTCTGTATGTTTGCCAGGGAATTGTGAGTACACAGCAAGTTCAGCCATTGAGATTTGAACTCTGCCTATCACAGTACATTAGACTGAAAAGTGATTTTCTTGATGGGAGACCTACAGTATCCTTCTACCTAGACTCAGGTTTTTTGAAAACTACACCAGGTTTTCCTTTGGGGTTTCTCTGTATTTTGCTGCATTCATTCTTCCCTCACCTTTCACAAGCTTTTAAGGGTCTGCTGTAGAGCAACATCCCCACTCTGTGATGCTGTTCCCAGATGCCCATCTTTAGGATGTCACCATTGGCAAGAGCACTCATGTTTCTAGGCAATGAAGCCTAGGACTAGGTCTAGGAGGACTCATCTCTTGGCGGAGGTCAAGAAACATCCTTTTTGTTACTCCACTCCCTCAAACTCCAGGTGTAAGCTCAAGTCTGGCACCCAGTGAACCTGCAAATATTAGACAAATCCCTCAGTGAGGGTGTGCGCCCACTGGTCTAAGTGGGGGGATGACTGTTAGCCTTTGCAGGCACTTGGGCAGCCTGCATCTCAGATACTTGGGTGCTGGAATTGGTTTCCAGGGGCTACAGCTATAGTTTCAATCCCAGGAAGGCCATCCACAAAAATGTGTAATTGCATATGTTATTTTAATAAATGCTTCTATAATTTTATAAATATTACATGGTGATCCTTTTTTGTTCTGTGGTTTTTGTTCTTTTTACATTTCTCTGGAGCCTCCCACTCTGGTTACTTCTGCAACATCAGATTCATCCAGTGTTCAGTGTACTAACACTGTCTGCTATAAAGGATTACCCGTGATTATGTAGTACTACTGATTTTGGTCTATTATAGGATATATATTTATATTATTTAGTTGTGCTAAAATATATATTTTGTTTTGATTGTGATTGCACAATCCTTTTGTAGTTTAGGCTATTTCTTATTCTATAGTTTGTTTGTTTTTTAGATCTATTCCACCGCTGATATTCTGCTGGGCACAACATCTGCCGGCAATTTACCTTGCTGATACTCAGTTCTAAGCTCCACTTTCCCAGCAGTTTATGGTCCTTATTACCTCTCCCACAACATATCTGTAGTGTTGTCTTCTGCACACCCGCCCTGGAGATTTCATTGAGCTCTTTGGGTGTGTGTGTGTGTTTTTAGTGTTTTTTTTTGTTTGTTTTTTTGGGGGGGGGGGGGGGGGGGGGGGGGGGGGTTGGGGTTTCCTTTCCGTTCATCTGGGAGATTTTCTGCCCTATGTGGACATCAAAAACATATACCTGCATGTTCCCATTTTTTTTTTGTCAAGACTTTGCAGAGGTTATGCTGTAATCGTTTGCACTGGAAATGACTCGCTTGGAATATCGGTGTCTAGTCAAAGACAACTCAATCCCGACTCTTTACTTCTGCATGAGTCCTGAAGCTGATGGTAGGCTGTTCCATTTGCCCAGATCCTCTCCAGACCTCTACAGCGCAGCATCCCGTGTCTTGCGAAAAATGGGTCTAATCCTTGGACAGATTCATTTGGCACAAAAGGCCAGGTTGTCTTTTGGCCTGGAGTCATTGTCTCTGCTCTGGAGTTTAGGAAGTCTTTTCTTGCTGTCTTCTGGAAGATCCTCCTGACTGATGGTAACCCATCTGGTTGAGGAGGAGTCCATGGCACCTTGTTGTGCAGGGGGCTTGAATGTTGGAGAAATCCCATCTCCCACTTAACATTCTGGAGCCTCAGGCAATGATGATGACGACCCGGCAACATTTGGCCTCTCAGCTGGAGGGTCATACAGCCTGTATTCACACTGACCGTGCCACAGCAGCAGTGTATATTAACAATCAGGGCGTAACTTGAAAACTAGCAGTGGCAAGAGAGGTAGAGTGGATACTGTCATGGGCAGAACATCGTTCCAGCCTTGCCCGCCATCTACATCCCAGGCATGGGCAATTGTCAAGCAGACTTTCTCCGCTGACAGCACCTGGACCTAGGGGAGTGGTCTTTAGACCTAGAGGTGTTTCATTACCTTTGTAATTGGTGGAGAGAATGCCAGATGTGGACCTCCTGGCCTTTAGATTCAGCAACCAATTAAACATATTTGTCTTCAGGTACAGGTATCCTCTAGTAGAAGCAGATACTTTGGTGGCTTTGTGGAATCCGTAAACCCTGGTTTATGCCTTTCCATTCCTGAAACCTCTTCATTATCTGCTTTTGTAGGACTGAGATGTTGGGGAATGTTGATGATCCTCATTTCCCCAGACATGCCCAGGCATATGTGGTGCTCCTGCCTGCTTAGACTGTTCCAGATTGCCTGAATCTTTTGTCTCACAAACCAATTTACCACCCTGTATCTTTTTTCTGGCTTTAATGGCATGGCTGTTTAAGCCCATGCTCTGAGAGACACGACTTCTTTGAATCGGCGACTCCCATGATGTGAAAAGCTAGGAAGTCTGCTTCTGTCAAGGTCCAACAGCTTCTGTGCTTGGTTCAAGGCAAAAGGGTTTCACCCCAGAAAATTCTGTGGGACGAATCTTTGTCTTTTTACAGATGAGTCTGGACCTGCATTTTTTGATCTACACACCTCAAGGGTCAGGTCTTCTTTGTGTTTGCAATCTTGTTCCAGAGATTGATAGTTTCCTATTCTTATATCAAGACCTTTTGTGCAGGGTGTCTCCCATGTGGATTCCCTGGCTTATCACCCCTAACTCTGTGGTATCTGATTTTTTTATTTTTATTTTTTGTTTTTTTGTGTTTTTTTTGTTTGTTTTCCTCTTTTCAAAAACTGCCTTTTTCTCCTGTGAAGGGTGTTTCCTTTTCCACTTTCACTCACAAGGTTGTGTTTCTTGTTGCCCTCCGCTCTGCAAGGCGAATGTCTGAGCTATTGACCTTATTCTGTAAATCCTTTCTAGTCTTGCACAGTGACGTGGTGGTGTGTCCCAGAGCTTCCTTCCTAACTAGGACTTTCAACCAGGACACTGCTTTTCTTTACCTGTAAAGTCCCACCCTCAGTTTTGAAGCAAAGCAGTAACAGCATGATCATAAACACAGAGGCATGATGGAAGAAAAAGGGTTTATCCTGGGTTGTCCTACAATTTGTTTGGCAATATCCAAGCACCTATAGGCTACAGTATAACCCAAAAATCAGTCTTCCTGTGGCCTGCAAATGACTCCAAGAAAAGGATTTTATAGTAGGTACAAAAATCCTATTTTGTATATCTACCTAGTTTTGCTTTAATTTGTATGTGTTGTAGACCACACTGGACTGACTAAATCTATCGCTGGTCTTGGGTGATCGGAAGGAATGTGCCTGATGGTGGAGATAGGTTGTAAACCCTCTTGGGCCACTGCCATTTTGATACGGCCTTGAGGTTGTTTCCGCATGTAAGTCTGGGACAAATTGAAGGAAGGAGGGGCGTGTGGTATCAAAAAGGATTACAAGTTGGGAAGTCAATTCAATAATTTTTTTATTTAGATTGGTAGCAAGTACATCAAGTTAATGTGTTTTCAGGAAAGAGGCTTCTCCCTTCTTCAGGGCTATCAAACAGACACAAGAAATGGGCAGATACATAAAAAGTTAGAAAAGGATAATGTTACTGAAATGGATAAAAAAAAAAAATATATATATATTTTGTTTTGATTGTGATTGCACAATCCTTTTGTAGTTTAGGCTATTTCTTATTCTATAGTTTGTTTGTTTTTTAGATCTATTCCACCGCTGATATTCTGCTGGGCACAACATCTGCCGGCAATTTACCTTGCTGATACTCAGTTCTAAGCTCCACTTTCCCAGCAGTTTATGGTCCTTATTACCTCTCCCACAACATATCTGTAGTGTTGTCTTCTGCACACCCGCCCTGGAGATTTCATTGAGCTCTTTGGGGTTGTGTGTGTGTTTTTAGTTTTTTTTGTTTGTTTTTTTGGGGGGGGGGGGGGGGGTTGGGGTTTCCTTTCCGTTCATCTGGGAGATTTTCTGCCCTATGTGGACATCAAAAACATATACCTGCATGTTCCCATTTTTTTGTCAAGACTTTGCAGAGGTTATGCTGTAATCGTCTGCACTGGAAATGACTCGCTTGGAATATCGGTGTCTAGTCAAAGACAACTCAATCCCGACTCTTTACTTCTGCATGAGTCCTGAAGCTGATGGTGATCGGATAAAAAAAAAAAAAAATTTTAAGAGGTAATACTGTGAGAAGAAACGCAATATAAAAAACACCATATATGAAATTCATCATAAGAAGTATAGGGATATAGATATAATATAGATAGATAATGGTACTATAAGCAGCAAGAAAATATGATAAAATAAAAGTTAATAGTTTTGCTTTAAGTTTTTACTACAAAAAAGGGTGTATATCTATGAAATTGGTTTTATGTCTTTTTCGTTATTCATTTAACTCAATTTGCAGAGTTTGTTTTCAGTTTGCCGTTTAAAGGCTATTGATCAGTGTAATAAAAAAAATTTCCACTGCAAACTTCAAAGTGAATGAATCATTTTTACATGCACTGTATTTACAGTTGGAAGATTATCATCTTCAGTGCAGCCTGGGAGCATCCAAACCCAGACACTCTATAAACAGTATTTGTCTGGCTTTAGGTGAGACTCCTGGAGATTTAAAACGTTGTGTGTCCTTGGGGGTAATGTTCCCTTAGGGTGCTTATTATCAGCTTTTATTTGCCATAAACTTGCATGTGCAATTGTTTTAGAGACCTATAAAGCCTATTGAACCCCTTCTTCTAAAACATTCATCTGCCAATGCTTCCTCCATTACAGCTGTCAATAAAAAAAAAAAAAAAAAAAAAACAGTTTTGGGGTGTGGAAGAGCATGTGACCTCCTCCCCCATGATGCAGTACTCAGGCGTAATGACCAATTGTCAGGTTGAGCATTGTCATATGACCGATGCCAACACCAGGGTACATCTGTGGGTTCTGCAGAGAAGCTCAGCAGGGGATTGCTGCAGAGGTAAGTATCACAGGGTCAGCGGGCAACTTGACACCGGCAACTGTCACTTGGCTGTGCAAAGAAGCTTTTTTTTTTTTTTATTTATTTTTTATTTTTTTTTTTTGTGATTCTTTAAATATTTATGTATGTGTGAATATGTATTCCAGATTAGTATCTGGTGTTCCTCCACCTCTGCACCTTGTGTTCATTGCCTGGTCTGTTACATGTTTTCAGCCGGTCTCTCATTGCCATCTGTTTGCGATTGGTTAGCCGCAGTCGGTGGGAATAACCCTCTGCCTTTCTCGTTTCCAGGGACTCCACATTGGCAGACGAAGCTGGAAGCTGCACAGAATGTTCTCCTTTGTAAAGAAATATTTGCACAGTTGTCTCGTGAAGCCGTTCAAATCAAATCCCAAATCCCTCACATTGTCGTCAAGAACCAAATTATCTCCCAGCCATTTCCTGGTAAGAAATGCTTGTTTTATGACTGTAGGAGGAGATGACTTCAGAGATCCATTTTAATCTGTCATTTTTAGTTACTAATGGTATTGATTGCCTTACACAATGTATTGAGGATAACTGTGTAGCCTTTTTCAGGAAACATCCTTCTATTTTAGAGCGAAAGGTTGAAACTGGTCCCAACCCTTTTCTTTTTTTTTTTTTTTTTTTCTCCTCCTCTCAGTACGGATTTTTAAAGTGTATGTAAACTTTGACAGTGAACTTATTTGGTCCATTTTGTTAAATAAACATTGAAGTGTTTTTATTATATCTGATAAGTGTAAACAAAAATATCTGTTTTTGTGCTTAAAATCCAGACCAGTCTTGTGCACGCTATCATATTGTTTAAAACATTGTCATCATTGGAGAATGCCTGTCCCCAGGTTGTAGAAATGAGGTGGTGTTCTATAGTCCTAACACAAAGTTAAGTTGATTTTGTTTACCAATCATAATAGGAAGATCGTTCTTCCATCCATTTAAGCATATACAGAATAATCATATATTGTGCAGAAATACAAATGGCTTGACCATCCTTACTTGAATCTTTTGCGTTTTTCTTCCAGATCTGTGCAGAAGTCCAGTGTGAAACTTTTTTTTTTTTTTTTTTTTTTTCCTGTGCAGGAGCTTTTTGTAATAAGGACCGGTCACTGCTGATCACTCCCCTTTTTGCAGAGTGACTGAGCTTGTATCCACACCCTCCTGTAGTTTTCTGTAGTGGGTGGAGCCTGCTAGACTCCTCCCACAGCTTTGGTTTCTGCACAGATAATATAGAGCACAGTGATGATGTCACTGCTACTTTTGTTAATGTCTGGGCTTGTAAAGGAGTTTATATTCTTGGTGACGACTATTGAGGAATACATGTGTTTGTGTGCATATATATGTGTGTGTGTGTGTGTATGTATATATGTATGTATATATATATGTGTGTGTGTGTGTGTGTGTGTGTGTATATATATGTATGTATATGTGTGTGTGTGTGTGTGTACGCACACGCACACACGCAAAAAAAGTATTTAGTCAGCCACCAATTGTGCAAGTTCTCCCACTTAAAAGGATGAGAGAAGCCTGTAATTGGCATCATAGGTAGACCTTAACTATGAGAGACAAAATGAGAAAAAAATCCAGACAATCACATTGGCTGATTTGGAAATAATTTATTTGCAAATTATGGTGGAAAATAAGTATTTGGTCAATATCAAAAGTTCATCTCAATACTTTGTTATATATCCTTTGTTGGCAATGACAGAGGTCAAACGTTTCCTGTAAGTCTTCACAAGGTTGGCACACACTGTTGCTGGTATGTTGGCCCATTCCTCCATATATAATATTACACAGTGGCAGCATTACACGCAGTAGCAAGTGTGTCCTATTACTGATAAGCGGCGCACATGCCGCAGGCCAGTCCAGAGACCGTTAAGATGGCAGACAACTGTGTTCGTGCTCACATGGAACAGCGTGTAGTGATGAAGCTTCTTGTGAACAAAGGTGGAAAGCCCGCGGACATCTACAGAAGACTTCAGGCACAGTACAGTGATGAAACGCACAGCCGCAGTAAGACATTTGAATGGTGTAAATGTTTCAAAGATGGCCGAAACGTCTGTCAGTGGTTCCCAGCCCACAGCAGTCATTCCTGTGAACATTCAGCGCGTGAAACGCCTGATCCTGAATAACTGACCCATAACCTGTCATGAAATTGCACATAAGACGAATCTTTCGTGGGGATGGTGAATACAATGATGACGAAGTACAGCAGCCTGTCCTAGGATGGTTCAGGCATACTGACAAATATTTGTATGCCGAAGCTCTTCAGGCATTTGTTAAACTCTGGGATAAGTGTATAAATGTAGCAGTGGAGTTTGTTGAAAAAGAAATGCAGTTTCCACTCTTTGAAATTTTGTTCTGTTATTATATAAACTCAAAAGTCCCAGTTTGACTTGAATGCCCTGTGTGTGTAGCTGGAGTACATCTTTAAGTTTACCAAAATATTGGATGATGGTGTTAGCTACGGTTTTCTAAACCGACTTTCTTGTTAACCACATCTTCCCCTTTGTTCTCTTACAAATGTAAAATGTTCTGTCCCCCGTGGTGCACGTTTTGTGTATAAAGCTAAAGCCTTAATATTTCATAGGATTGGTTCTTTGGAAGTTCCTGGCATAGACAGTGGCACAGTTAGCGGCCTTCCCCATTATACCGTTTCCTTGGTATCTTTTGTATATTTCTTCCATCCATCTTCCAATGTGCACAACCTGTTCTCTGCAGTTCCATGCTGCTAGCTTGTGACTGAGGCTTGATTTTGTATGCAGCTTAGGTTTCTGAAGTGCGAGTTGTGTTCTGTTCCTGCTAAGGGCAGATGTATGTTATGTACTTATGGTGCCCTTCCAAAAAAACATTAGTGGATCTGACTTGTATCATGTACGTTGTCTTTAGTCCCCTAAAGCGATTCTGTTGCAAAAAAGAAACTGTAAAGTTAAAGGTTTAATACTTGCCTGTGCTGCTACTTGTGGCTTAGATCTCCATTGCCTTTTGAAGAGCTACAATAGTTAAAGTGATTTTAAATCCTCAGTTTTATTAAGCATTCAGCAGCTGATTTGATTACTTACTGTGTCGTTTTATTTTCATCTTTTATTCCTTGCCTGTGTTCTAGTTTAAGCTGGTGCCTTGACCACTGCCTCAGGTTTTCTGTTTGAGCGGTTCCTTCCTTTTGCATCAGCCTATAAAGCCATCCTTACTTGCTGGGAATAGAGTTGTCTCAAAATATGTGCATACATAGAAACACACAGCCCTGTAGGCTAGGATGGCAAGATACACCCCCCCCCCTTCCTCCTCCCTTGGAGACTGCGCTGTCCACTGTTAACTTTTTTCTGTGAAGACTGGAAGTTCAGGGAAGCAGCATTGAGAGAGCAGGAGCCAGTAGCATTTATTGTAAAAAGCATGTGCTGGATTAATAATTTTAACAAAGGTTACTGGTAGTGGTGCACCGAAATGAAAATGTCTGTCTGTGTATGTGGTGGTGGGAAGGCTCCATTTTTTTTTTTTTCCCCTAATTTTCATGTACGGTATATTTTTTCAACTTATGATTTTATTGCTGTCACATAGTGGACCAATAGTCCCCTATGTGATGGCATATGAGTGACAGGCCCTCTTTGTGTGTGTTTGTGTGTGTGTGTGTGTGTGTGTGGGGGGGGGGGGGGGGGGGGGGCAGTGTGTGCAAGGAGGGGGGGCAGGAGAGGAGCAGTGTGTACAGTCAGGTAGCAGTGTATACAAAGGCTCCCTCACTGGCTGTCACTATGGGGTTTATTTACTAAAGCTGGAGAGTCCAAAGTCAGACTCCCTTCTGCATAGAAACCAATCAGCTTCTAACCTCAGCTTGTTCAATGAAGCTTTGGCAATGAAACCTGGAAGCTGATTGGTTTCTATGCAGAAGGGAGTCTGATTTTGGACTCTCCAGCTTTAGTAAATAAACCCCTATATGTCGGTGCTGGTTTTTAAATGCAATTGTCAGCTTTTTTTTTTTTTTTTTTTTTTTTTCCTTCACTATAGCTCACAGAATTAGCTGTCACTTTTCCCCCAAGCTAAAGGAAAACTGTTTCTTTTATCTCGGGAAAGAAGCTAAAAGGAAACGTTTTTTAGCTGGGGGGAAAGTGACCGCTAATTCTTTGAGCTATGGTGAAGAAAAAATAAGCCGGTAATTGCATTTAAAACCGGCACTGACATATAGTGACAGCCAGTCATGGTATACAGTGCTCCTCTCCTGCCTTTCTTAGCCGTCATACAGTCTCCTGTATCGGCACCTGTATTGGCTAAATTTTTCCTATCTGCAAAAGGCCGATATGGCTATTTTCGGCCGATATGCTTTGGTGGCTGAAATTTCGGTGCATCCCTAGTTACTGGGTAATGTTTAATAATACATTAAACAATCTTCAGCATTCAACATACTTGTGATTATCAAGTAACTGTGCCCTGTGGTTCCACCCCCTGGTTTGCTACATCACGATAGGAAACTGTAGTGACATAGTAGTCAATGCATTTGACCACAGCATTCAGTGGGGGACTAAACATCTGGCACTCTTGGAAGCTGACCAAGATATGGGCAGCACAGTGACTAAATGGTTGGCACTTCCGCCTGATGGTACTAGGTCATTGGTTCGAATCCCAACCACGGCACCACCTGCCTGAAGTTTGCATGTTCTCCCTGTGCGGGTTTCCTCCGTGTACTTCAGTTTCCTACCATACTCCAAAGACATGCTGGTAGTTTAATTGCTCCTATCTACACTGGCGCTAGTATGTTATGTATGAATGTGCATTAGGGACCTTACAATGTACGCCCCTTGAGGGTTAGAGTGTATATGTATGTATGTGTGTATGTGTATATGTGTGTGTGTGTGTGTGTGTGTGTGTGTGTGTGTGTGTGTGTGTGAGTGTGTGTGTATATATATATATATTTATTATTATTATTATTATTATTATTATTATTATTATTTTTTTTTTTTTTTTTTCTTTATTTGTAAAGCGCTGCGTAAATTGATGGCACTATATAAGTACCTAATAGAAATAAATTAAATAAGATCCGAAGCACAGGCAGTAGGACAGGTAAGTACTATATCTCACAGAAGTGAGTACACTCCTCGCATTTTTTGTAAATATTTTATTCTATATTTTCATGTGACAACACTTGTGAGTTGTACAGCTTGTGAGTTATACAAGCTGTACACTCACTACTTTACATTGTAACAGTGTAAATTTGCTGTCCCCTCAAAATAACTCAACACAGCCATTAATGTCTAAACCTCTGGCAACAAAAGTGAGTACACCCCTAAGTGAAAATGTCCAAATTGGGCCCAATTAGCCATTTTTCCTCCCAGTGTCATGTGACTCGTTAGTGTTACAAGGTCTCAGGTGTGAATGGGGAGCAGGTGTGTTAAATTTGGTGTTATCGCTCTCACTCTCTCATACTGGTCACTGGAAGTTCAACATGGCACCTCATGGCAAAGAAGTCTCTAAGGATCTGAAAAAAAGAATTGTGACCAGGTGAGGAGTACAAAGACAAGTGTGTCTTGCCTACAGTCGAGCATATTGGCGGGAGGAGTGTCATGGTATGGGGCTGCATGAGTGCTGCCGGCACTGGGGAGCTACAGTTCATTGAGGGAACCATGAATGCCAACATATACTGTGACCTACTGAAGCAGAGAATGATCCCCTCCCTTCAGAGACTGGGCCGCGGGGCAATATTCCAACATAATGACCCCAAACACACCTCCAAGACGACCACTGCCTTGCTAAAGAAGCTGAGGGTAAAGGTGATGGACTGGCCAAGCATGTCTCCAGACCTAAACCCTATTGAGTATCTGTGGGGAATCCTCAAACGAAAGGTGGAGGAGAGCAAGATCTCTAACATCCACCAGCTCCGTGATGTCATGATGGAGGAGTGGAAGAGGACTCAAGTAGCAACCTGTGAAGCTCTGGTGAACTCCATGCCCAAGAGGGTTAAGGCAGTGCTGGGAAATAATGGTGGCCACACAAAATATTGACACTTTGGGCCCAATTTGGACATTGTCACTTAGGGGTGTACTCACTTTTGTTGCGGTTTAAACATTAATGGCTGTGTGTTGAGTTATTTTGAGGGGACAGCAAATTTATACTGTTATACAAGCTGTACACTCACTACGTCACATTGTAGCAAAGTGTCATTTCTTCAGTGTTGTCACATGAAAAGATACAATAAAATATTTACAAAAATGTGAGGGGTGTACTCACTTCTGTGAGATACTGTACATGGATTTTTTTTTTTTAATAAAGAGTTGGTTTTAGGGCTCGTTCACACCAGTGAGCAGAGATGTCCGTGTTTCTGCATGCCGTCAGCAACAACACAAGGAAATCAATTCTATGTGTTCATACCACACTAGTATTGTGTGCAGATTATTTTTTTTGAGCAGGAATCTGCAACTTGCATAAAACTCATTGTAAACTTATGTCTCTGCAAGGGAAATCTGCATGTCTCCATCAGTTTTTCTGCATGTATGGTGTGAATCTGGCCTAAAGCTGATGTCTTGCCACAAAAATACTGTTTCCTCCATTTTTGCATGTGGTTTTTTTTTTTGTTTTTTTTTTCCCAAATAAAGTTCTCCATATTCTGCAATTTTTCCTCTGTAACAAAAGCTTCTTTCCTTCAGATTTCTTGCTGCTGGTTATTCCATGCCTCCTCAGTTGTGTACATGAAGGTTATTGTGTGAGCACCCCTTTGTAGTCCTGTGTTCCATTCCTTCTTAATTAAAAGCAGTTCCTGTCCATAATACATATACAACCTTTTTGTGAATTAAAGAAATAAATAAAATAAATAAATTGATTTTAAACATATAATATGCAACAAAGTCCCACTAATCAAAAAAGTGTCCAAAATAGTGTCCGCAAATATCCCAAATTTATTCACTCTTTTCATCCACTGAAAGGATTGGCTCCTATTTCATCCAAAACGCACCTCGAAGTAAAAAATATCTAGTGCATTACCTCAATAATAATAATAACAATAATCACCCCGTGCAACCAAAATACACTTAAAAAAAAAAAACCTTTTGTGCAAAAAAAAAAAAAAATTATTTTCTTATAGTGCATATAATCACACAAATCAAACTGTGTGAGCACTCTGTGGTCACTGCAATTCAGTGTCTACCATCAACCAACACACAGTAGTACTAAATACTATTACCCTCTATGAGTATTGAAATGCTCAAACTATACTATGGAAAAGTATTCCTCCACATTATCTTCCAAGAAGTTTTTTCCAAGGTCCTCAGAGAAATAAGAAGGGTCTCAGGACTAGTATTCCAAGCATAGGGATAACTTTTTATTCATCACTTACATTAAGATTTAAAATTATCAGCTCCAGACATGGTTTCATGCTTTTGCAACCAAACACCATAGGAAACCATGTGTTGAAAACCAACAAAATGGCCGCAGCGACACTTCCGGTCTACGTACGTGCGTCTTGACGTCACTCTCTAACGCGTTTTGTCACACTTCCGGACTTTTTTTTTTTTTTTTTGCACAAAAGGGGTTTTTTTTTTTTAAGTGTATTTTGGTTGCACGGGGTGATTATTGTTATTATTATTATTGAGGTAATGCACTAGATATTATATTTTTACTTCGAGGTGCGTTTTGGATGAAATGGGAGCCAATCCTTTCAGTGGATGAAAAAAAGAGTGAATAAATTTGGGATATTTGCGGACACTATTTTGGACTTTCTTTTTTTTACACTTTTTTTATTAGTGGGACTTTGTTGCATATTATATGTTTTTAAAATCAATTATTTATTTTATTTCTGTAATTCACAAAAGGTTGTATATGTATTATTGCACTTTCTAGGGAGAAAGTATTGACTTTTTGAGGGTTTAAAAAGGATAAGGGTATACATTGATTGAATAGTTCCTGTCCATAGTAGCCTCTCGGCTATCCATCTCTGTAGAGAGTAGCTTTAAAAGTGTCTTATGGCAATAATCGCATTAGAAAAAGTAATCGTTTTATCAAACTGCTGAAAGGTGTTTTTATTCTCATTGGTCATCCCGACTGTCTCTGTCTTCTTCTTACAGGACTCCAGCTGTCCATCTCCTTTTGCCATTCAACAAATGACAAGAAGTCTCAGAAATTATCTTCTGAAAAGACAAGTCCTGAAGATAACCTTTACGTCCTCGAACACAACTTGCATCAGCTCATTAGAGAGGTGAGTCATCTGAGTCCTCCAGGCGCAAACCAGGGTTCACACTATACCACAGAGCTGCCAAGGCGATTCGCCACTGCCGACAACTCTGCTTTTCCCAGCTGCAGTAGGGGGCAGTGTGGTGCGTTGATGAAGCGCATCACATGGCTCTCTTTATTATGTCTTTATTTTAAGTAGGCTTTATGTGAAGTGTACAAAACGTACACTTCATTCACTGCAATGTAGGGCAGTGTGCTGCCTTACGTCACAGTGCGATTCGGCGTGCTGCACTGCGATTAAATGCAGCTTGTCTGTATTTTACCTCGTCGCAGCACTAGGCTGCATTGCACTATGAATGGGACACATAGGAAACAATTGTTTTCTGTGTATCCTTGCAGTAAAACGTCTGTCATCACAAATAGTGTGACTTAACCCTTACAGACACAAAGTAGTTCTACTTCTTAGCTCTGTATTATTATAATGCCATACCAGATTTGCGGTGAAACCTGGTGTTGAATGGACCCGGCCTATACAAGTGCTGTGTGCCTTGTTTCAGATGGTATCGGCTACCGAAGGAACTTACAAGCATGCCATGTAAAAGTGGTACAAAATCACACCCAGAAGTCCTTTCTCCAGCTGGGGAGTCTTATTTGCAAACTTTACCCAGGGAGCATTGGCTGAAATCTCCTTTCTTGTGTTTAGCAGTCCACTAAATATTCTGTCAGCTGGTGAAGGAAGAAGGCATAACGTAGCGTTTTTTTTGTTTTTTTTGCTTTCATTTTTCAGTTTCACAAACAAACTTTAAGTAATATTGTGATGCCACATCCGGCCAGCGCTCCATTTGGACACAAGAGGATGCGTCTTGCCGGTCCCCAAGCCTTCGATAAGAATGAAATAAACGCCATGCAGCAGAGCGAGGGACTGCTGGAGAAAATAATCAAACAAGCAAAACACATTTTTCTCAGACGCAGGTTAGTGGTCACTAATAAAGCAGCAGGCCACATTTTTGGCCCTTTAGGACCTATTCGCACCAGCACGTGGTGCGGAAAACTCATGTTCCATGCACGTTTCCCACACCGCATTGAAAATGCACTGCTGTTGCGATCTGCAGCAGGTGTCCATATTAAATTACTGACACCTCAAATGCAGGTTGCAAACGCAGTGTGTTTTTCCCCCCACTGCATTCGCCTGGTCCTTCGGTTGCAGTGAGTCTCCAAAAGTGTTGCATGCACTACTTTTTGGTGTGGTGTGATTTCAGCCAATTCAAAATTAATGGACTGAAATCACACCGCACAGAACTGCATGCGAATTGAACAGTGTGTTCCTGTGTGGTTCCCAGTGTGAACCGGCCCTTAAAGTGTATATAACTAGTGCCAAAACCTTTTTTTTTTTTTCTACACATTCTATTTTGCATGAGCTAGAGATTGATTGAAACTCGTTACTTTTTATTACTAACAAAAAACAGAGTATATGGTACTGGCCACTTATACTATATACACTGCTCAAAAAAATTAAAGGAAGACTTTTTAATCAGAGTATAGCATCAAGTCAATTAAACTCCTGGGATATTGATCTGGTCAGTTAAGTAGCAGAGGGGGTTGTTGTTCAGTTTCAGCTGCTTTGGTGTCAATGAAATTAATAGGTGCACTAGATGGGCAACAATGAGATGACCCCCAAAACAGGAATGGTTTTACAGGTGGAGTGCACTGACGGTTTTTTCCCTACTCGTCTTTTCTGACTGTTTTTCAGTATTTTTGCATTTGGCTAGGGTCAGTGTCACTACTGGTAGCATGAGGCGATACCTGGACCCTACAAAAGTTGCACAGGCAGTCTAACTTCTCCAGGATGGCACATCAATATGTGCCGTTGCCAGAAGATTTGATGTGTGTCCCAGCACAGTCTCAAGAGCATGGAGGAGATTCCAGGGGACAGGCAGTTGCTCTAGGAGAGCTGGATTGAGCCGTAGAAGGTCCTTAATCCATCAGCGGGACCGGTATCTGTTCATTTGTGCAAGGAGAAACAGGATGAGCCCTTCCAGACAGACTTCATGAGGGTGGCCTGAGGGCCCAATGTCCTCTAGTGGGCCCTGTGCTCACTGCCCGGCACCATAGAACTCAATTGGCATTTGTCTTTGAACACCAGAATTGCCAGGTCTGCCACTGGAGCCCTGTGCTTTTCACAGATGAGAGCAGGTTCACCCTGAGCACAGGGACAGACCCTATGCTGGTGCAGTGGGTCCTGGGTTCCTCCTGGTGCACATCAATGCCTGGCCTCATGTGGTGAGAGTATGCAGGCAGTCCCTGGAGGGTGAAGGAATTGATACCATTGAATGGCCCCCCACACTCGCCTGACCTAAATCCAATAGAACACCTCTGGGATGTCATCTTTCTTTCCATCCGACACCGCCAGGTTGCACCTCAGACTGTCCAGGAGCTCAGTGATGCCCTGGTCCAGATCTGGAAGGAAATACCCCAGGACACCAGCCGTCGTCTCATTAGGAGCATACCCCGACGTTGTCAGGCATGTATACGGGGACGTGGGGGCCATACAAACTACTGAATACCATTTTTGAGTTGCTGCAATGAAATTTCAGCAAAATGGACTAGCGTGATGCATCATTTTTTCGTTTTTTTTTCGAGGTCTGAATTCAGTCCTCTGTAGGTTAATTTTCATTTCCATCAACCGATGGGGCATCCTTACTTACTACAACACATTACCCAGTCCATATCCGTATAGATATCCAGCATGACATTTTTCCCCATTGAGATCTGATGTGTTTTCAAAGTGTTCCTTCAGTTCTTTTGATTAATGTATGAGTGGTGCTTATATCCCAAGTCGTAGAACGACGGTAGACATACATTTTTAGAAAACGGGGACTTTGCAAGCACCAAACTATTACAACAAAAGAAATGTATAAAACGCCATTTTATTAAATCCAATATTAAAAACGGAGAGAAATACATTGTACGAGATAATATACAAAAATGACGATTATTTGGCAGCCTTCCCCCAGAATTCCGATATGTAATATTTTCTTCAGAGGGGAACAGTAGAATACAGCAAAAAGTTCTGTAAAATATTGGTAATCACCTCAAACAAATATATTTATTTCCAAAGAGACAACATTTTTTGTATTCAACTTACTATGATCTCCCCGTATAATCGGTCAAATTTGAAAACAGTGTGGCTGTGCAGGGCTCCGCCCACACATCTGCGTCATTCATTCATGGACTTCAATGAATGAATGCACTGCAAGTCCCGACAGCCTTAGCGGCTGTGGGCTTGTAGTTTTCAATGAACTACCACGGCGCTGTGGAGCGCCATGGTAGTTCATTGAAGCTTCCTGTCAGAATATCTGCTTGCTTGTATCCCATAGTACGGCAAGCAGATATTCTGACAGGTCTGCAGGAGACCTGCATGGCACCAGCAATCAATGCTTTACAGGCTCCTGTAGACAATAATAATAAATGCACATTTTTTTTTTACAAACCAGCAAAAAAAAGAGCATTTATTTGTCTAAAAATTTTACTTCTCCTTTAAGATTTCAATAAAACTTGGTGCTCACTGGATTTCTGGAAGGATCATAGAGTGCATGTAAACCCAAACAGTGTACAATGTGCAGCAAGGAAAGAAAAATACTCAAAGTGTGGGAATGTAGGTGTTTATATTTTGGGAAATTATGGAGAGGCCATGCAATGATACAGCTGCACCAGCTAAAAGCTCATTTCTTTATATAATTCACATAACAAAGTACTTTGTCATGTAACTGTTACCCTTCGTGATTCCCGGTTTTGTTTCTAGAACTGCACGCACAATCGATAGCCTGGCCAGCAGAATTGAGGATCCTCAGATACAAGCTCACTGGTCAAGTATCAACGATGTGTACGAGTCCAGTGTGAAAGTCCTGATAACATCCCAAGGTTATGAACAGATATGCAAGTGAGTGATTTTTGTTTTTCTTAATGTATGTTCGTGACCGTAAGCTGCAAGTTCAGAGACACTTTTTTTATGAATGGATTGGTTCCTCAGCGAGCCAATAAAAGCTTGGAAACCTGAGTCAGAAGACTGATTGATTGTAACTGGCACATTCAGGGAATTAAGCCAGGATCCAAATGAGCATGTTTTATGACAGACAAATATTTTATTATGATTAGCAGGTTCTGCCACTTGATGCTGAGACTTGCAAATGGAAAACTAACGTTTTGCTAGGTTCAGAGCTTCTTACAGCATTAGCAGTTTTTATTTTGTTTTTTTAAGCACACAACCCCCATGCAAACTCTTTCTTTCAGTTTTGAACAGATTGGGAAAAGGTTAGAACCAGTGTCAATTGCTGTTCCCCTAGGTATTGGGGATCTTTTTCATTGACCTTGATGAGATTTGTGATAGGAGCCCACCCCATTGCAATCTGTACTGGCATGGCCTGCTCTGTCAGACATCAAGGGGTTTATTTACTAAAGCTGGAGAGTCCAAAATCAGACTCCCTTCTGCATAGAAACCAATCCGCTTCTAACCTCAGCTTGTTCAATGAAGCTTTGGCAATGAAACCTGGAAGCTGATTGGTTTCTATGCAGAAGGGAGTCTGATTTTGGACTCTCCAGGTTTAGTAAATCCCCAACTGTCTAGTGAGTTGCACAGCTTTGACTAGTTGTGTTGTCCCTGGTTTGCTGTAGGAGCTGAAGATTCTAGCAAGGGCACCTGGACTTCTGTCAGGCCCTAGGATTCTACTTAGGTTGCTTTTAGATGATATGGGTCAGATTCCTTAAAATGTTATAGCCCTTTTTATCACATGACCATGATATATCCCATACAGAGAATAATTTGCTCTTTTAAGATCTGACACAGTATAAGGGCTCATGTACATTGCAGCTGATAAACTCACGTTTAGGAGCTGTTCAGTGTTTCGTTTTTTGTTTTTTTTTTTGTTTTGGTTTGGTTTGGTTTTTTTTTCAGCAGCCCCTGAACTCGCTCTGTTTTCCTGTGTCCATGTACACATCATCCATTTACAGAGTTTAGTCATTTTTTTTTTTTTTTGAACACTTGTGTTCAGGAGTAGATTTTATCAGCATTCCAACTGCTTGTAAATGCGGCTAACTGCATTTTATAAGCGTTTGAAAATTTTTTAGAAATCTTCCATTTCCAGATGCTGTCCAGAGCCTTTTTTCATCATGAAAAATGCATGCAAAGCGTTTTCCCGGTACTCAAATGGACCCGGTACACCATGCTTTGAGGTTTTGCATGAAAAAAAATGTTAGACACTGCTGCAATAATTTCTGCACAGAAATAAGCTGGAACACATCCAAACACAAATTTAAAAAAAAAAAAAAAGACAGCTAATCTCAACACATACTGCTCTCTCTGCTTCTGCTCTCTATTTCTCTCAAAATGTCTGAAATAGTTAATTTTTACTGTTTTTTCAGTGCATTCTGGGCATTTTGGAAGGTCTCTCCTCTTTAAAAAAACATGCATAAACGCATTATGCAAATGCAGCTAAACAGACTTTTTTTTTTTAACCTACGTTTTCCACCAGTCAGTTTCCATAGTTCAGAAGTGTCCCATGTACATGGAGCCTAAAGATTCACAACTAGAGTGAATTAAACCTAATTTATGCACTTTGCCTCATCTGTTTGAATACTGCACATACCCTTTGTACTCTCAAAGCCGCTCTGTTCCTGAGATTCTGCCTTTTTTTTTTTTTTTTTTTTTTGATGATCTCCCCTGTGCATAGGCAGTTTATCCTACATTCACGGTACAGTGCTGTCCATGGCGTGATCTACACAGTGCTTTGTCGTGGTAGTGCATTCAACTGTCTCTGGCATAGGCACCTGTTCTACGTTGTAGGATGAAGTCTATAAATGGCAAAAGCAGGGTTTTGAGGAAGTAATCGGAGTACATTTTCAAGTATGGCACTGGCTCTACTGGAAAGGGGGTAAATTATTGTCATTCTGCAGAGGGTACACATGGGGGCAGCAATGTTTGCTTGTTGTTCACTACATGCTCCTCATCTTCTGTGCAGTACTACACAGCGGTTGTGCTCCTTTTTTGTTTTTATTTTTTGGATTTCTTTCTATTTTTTTTCATCATACATCACAGGATACAGGATTCGCTATTTCTTGAACAGTGGGTTATGTTGCACCTTCAGGTGATTGGACACAGGCAAAGCTGACCCCCCCCCCCCCCCCCCCATCCAGAATACCTTCAGATTTAGTGTCTTTTAGCATCAGACTTCAGCTTCTCGGGTCTGCAAGACTGCTACCTGATCTTCTATACATATATTTGAAATTCCACCAGGAAGATGTTCACTGTAGGTGGTCCTGTGAGTTGGGGCACATTTTCTGGTTCTTCTTGGAATTTTGGAGTTTTTTTTGCCCCCCCCCCCCCCCCCCCCATCTTCTGTGCTATAATTTGGTTTAAGCATTAGTCATTCCAGTGTCCTGTGATTGTCCAATAAAGAAAACTGTATTTTTGTCTTTTGTGGAATTATTTTCTTGGCGTACATAACAGAGCCCTTCCATCTGTGTCTTCACTCCTATATTACTTCAAAACTGAAGACGTGAGTGGAGAGGGTTATTCAGGGAGGGGTTTTCAGCTCTGCTTTCCCAGCATGCAATTTCTTGATGATGCAGGATAAACCGTTCGACTAAGGCAGGCCATAAACGGGCTGTTTATCGGCCGATAAACAAAAAATCAGTCACCCCTGTTGCCGATGCCACCAATGTCCATGAAAAACAACTGTTTTTGTGGATTTTCCAGCATGACCAATAAAAATAAATGTGCAGATCCGTGAAAAATGGCCGACGGGCTGGCCCCACTAACGGCGTGAATATCGGCCGATTTTTTCTTGCGGACGAAAATTGGGCCGATAAATGACCCGTCTGTGGCCTGCATAAGAATTCACTAATCCTGTGTTTTGTGATGTACTCCCAAGACAGGGATTTTACAGGTAAGTCAAACCTTCTTGCTTAGCCCTGGTTCACACCGCTGCAACCAATCGCACCTGAAGCTGCATCTAATGTATTTCTATAGCAGTGACTTAATAGGTGCAATTCCAAGGAGTGTGATTTGAAAAACCGTTCCTGCGCTTCAGTGCAATTTAACGCTCATGGTCTATAAAGTAATTGGCACTGATATCGCACCTGTGTCTATATCATTGATACTTTGAAGCTGAGCTTTAAGTGGGACCACATTGAAAATGCATTCAGTGCACACCAGGGCTTACTGCTTTTGTATTTGTTATTGACAGAAAACAAAGCACTCCTTATCTACTGTAAACACTGAAAAACAAACAACTGTTTGTATAATATCACAGCTAAAGTACAAACTAAAGGCTGGTTCACACAGCAAGAACTCACTCCAGATGCATGTGCGTTTTTGATGCATTTCAATGCCTCCAGTGTGCTTTTTTACCTGGGGTTTTTTTCTTTGTGATGCATCCCAGTGTGTTTTTGATGCATTTTGTTTTTCCCAGTACAGTTGTGTGCAGAAAAACTGTTGTATGTTCTACTTTTATTTTCTGCACTGGAACGCACCAGTACTGACTGCACTTGTGTGAACTATGCCATTGGAACCCATATAATCTACTGTGTATGCGTTTTTTTTTTTTTTTTTTTTTTTTTTTTTTTTTTAATGCAGAAAAAAAAATGACCTGTATTGCCTCTGTTGTGAACCAGCCCTATGTTTCTCTTTAACTATACCAAGTTTATCTAAAGTATTTTGTTTGTTTAGGCTTTGTGTATGCAGGAAGTAAAAGCTTCCCATGAGCGGTTTCCATGCTATTATCATATCATGGACAAAAGGTCAGCTGCTGTCATTTCTTGATGGCTAACTTCTTCTATATGATTCTTCCTCCAGGTCCATTCAGTTGCAGCTGAACATTGGGGTGGATCAGATCAGAGTTGTACACAGAGATGGGAGGGTCATCACACTGTCTCATCAAGAACAAGAGCTACAAGACTTCCTCCTCTCACAGGTGACCGTGTGCTGCTCACCAATTGTTAATATGGAATAGTCATGGTTAAAGATCAACCTCTTTTTTTTTTTTTTAATAAAAGAAAAAAAATAAAAAACCCAGCCATTGCCAAGCATCAGTATTTCCCTCCTCTTGGTGCTCTTGCATGCATACTTGCTGCACTGGTTCTCTTCTAGGTTAAATGATGCCCAGTGTCATTCAATCCACTTGCTATGAGCTCATGGTGTTAAAGGCCTCCATGTACTCCCAAGAGAATTCCGCTGCCACTCAGTTTGCTGAGGGGAGGATGTTATATCTGTACCTGGCTCTGCTCTGTGATGTAACAAATCGGACGTGATGGGAATTTCATCACATCCGGTTTGTTTACAAGCCGTTACCGGCTTTTAAAGCATCCGATCAAATCGATCCTGGTTTGATCAGGTACTTTGGAGGTCAGAGGCAAGATATGGGGTCTCTCCATTAAGAGGACCTGTCATGGCTCATGACATCACAAGGGATGTTGTTCATCACTTGTTTATAGCAATAAAGTTGATAAAAATAAGACAGTGTAAAAGAAAAAAATAAGTTTTAAATAAAATTCTTAAAATAAAATGTAAAGCTCGCCTCTCTCCCTCGTGCTCATGCACAAATGATCGCACCACACGTCAGGTATCACGTCAAGTCTCAGAGTGAGAGCAATAAATTCTAGCACCAGAGCTCCAAGTAGCTTTAAACTGGTGACCTGTAAAGGCTTTTAAAGCATCACCTATGGAGATTTTAGTTTTGTTGCCATTCCACAGGCATCCACAGTTTTTAAAGTGTGACATGCTTGGTATCTGTTAACGCTGCATAACCTCATCCTTTTTTACTTTACCAAAAATTTGGTGTTCTATTGTTTTGTGTGCACTAAAATCCATTGGCCACAAAGACTCAGCCTTTTCTGACACTTTTTGTTTACATTTAATAATCAGTATTTTTTGCTAGATAATTACTTAGAACCCCTAAACATTATATATATTTTTTAGCAGAGGCCCTAGAGAATACAATGGTGGAATTTTTTTTAGGTAAGTGGCTAATTTGCTGCTTGGATGACTGTTACGAAAAAACCCAGCCGTTGGCTGAAAAAAAGATACCGGGATGATAGCTGCAGATATCATCCCTGTATACCACTTGAAACCCGTAACGTATATGTACTTTTAGCGGCTCTTCAAGTGGTAAAGTGTAGTGTTTGTTTTTTGTGGGGGGTTTTTTTGTCCTTTTTTTTTTTTTTTTTTAAAGATTTGTGTTTTAAAAATGACTGTGCAAACATCATGCGACATAAAAAAAATTTGAGCAACCACCAATTTTATTCTACAAGGTCTCTGCTTTCACAAAATGTTTATGAATTCTCTGTAGTAATCTAGCACAAAAATGTTTGCTTTTTCACATGTATGTGAGAAGTGTCAGAATTGGCCTGGGAGTCAGGTGTAAAAAAAAAAAAAAAGAGGAAAAAAAATTCTAGTTCATATTGCTTCTGGATAAAAAAAAAAAAAGCTGATTTTAATGCTCTAGAACAGGTCTTCATCACGGCAGATAGAGAATGTTTTGAGACAACAGGTCTAACATGGTATGCTTCCTTTGTTTCAGATGTCTCAGCACCAGGTCCTTGCTGTCCAGCAGCTGGCCAAAGTGATGGGATGGCATGTGCTAAGCTTTAGTAACCACGTCGGCTTGGGGCCAGTAGAGAGCATTGGGAACGCCTCATCTATAACAGTGGCCTCCCCTAATGGAGATTATTCTGTTTCAGGTATGTCAATATTCACTGTTTTCATGTTTAACTACACCAAGCTATGCTTAACCTCCCTGGCGGTATGATTATGTCAGGAATTTTGTACCAAAAAAAAAGCGGTACCATTTTTTTGCATGGAAATTTGGTGTTATGTATTGTAGGCCTGCAATTCTTAGTAATTACTCAATAAATACTCATAAAAAATAATATAATAATAATAAATTTAATTCAATAATATAATCAAAACCAAAAACACTTAAATTTGAAATACAGCGCCAAGTTCGCACATCATTGAGCAAAGTCGCAAAATCGTTTTCAGTGTCTGACGAATTTCCCCATGAATCATCACTCAATTCTGCAAGTGGTTCTAATTTACTATCGCTGTTTTCTAGCTGGTCTAAAACCGATTTTGACAAAAAAGGACGCTTTTTTGGACGCGTGGACTTTTTTACGTTTCTAGGCAGAAAGAACAGTAAAAATGCATGCAGGGCACAGGACAAAGCAGTAGGGACAAAATGTATGTGAAATGCATTGAAACAGGAATGTTTTGCTATGAAATAATAATGTAAAAAAAAAAAAACGACTTTTTTTTTTTAAAACTTTCAAATTTGTCGCCGGTTCCGGCGCCCGTACGTCCCGACGTCACAGGGACCGGAATACGGAAGCCAGATGCCGGGGACGCTGCAGGGGACACATCGCGGGAGCGAAGGACAAGGTAAGCACTGCAGGGAATCCCTATGCAACGCTGCATGGTAAGCCCGAGTGTAGCTCGGGGTTACCGCTTTTGGTACTGAAACGTTACCCCGAGCTACACTCGGGAATACCGCCAGGGAGGGGTTAAAAAATTGAAGCCGGTTACAACACACTATATTTTTCCTTTATCACATATAGCTGAAATTTCAGGTGCATGCATTTTAAAAATTAAAGCCACAGAAAGATATGTGAAGTCAGTTGGTGATTAGACATCCATGCAGAACACAAACTATTAATTTTGGGGCAGTTTATTAACTTTTAACCTTAGCATTGTACCCCTTGAACCACTCTTCACTTTTGGGTACAAAAAGACCTGCTAAATCTAAAAAGACTTTCACTGTTCATGGACAAATACATGGGCAATTTATGATGATTGGGCCAATCCTGGAGAAAAAAATGTCACACCTCTGAAAATCATTTCCAAGCTCTATAGAGTGGGAAAAGAGTTCACCCAAATGTGGTCTGGTAGTGGACCCTGCCCTCTGTCTTAACCATGTCCCTGGTAGATCACCTCATCGTATATCATTTTGAATCCATTACTTTGCTTGCTTCGATTTGAGCATTACTTGGCTACATGTAAACCTTAATTACCTATTTAGCTAAAGCACTGTGTAACTTAAACAGTTGGCATGTTTTTAAAATAAAGTATTTGTTTTCATATTTTATCCATTAACAGAGCTGTTTGATCTCCTGCATGCCATTTTGCAACCACTTTCTGTGTAAAGGCAATCCAGCAATGACTGCATAGTAGTTCCAGGGTGGGTTTTCTGATGGTCATAACAGTAGACTGTGTCTGTGCAATCTGCATTAGCACAGCCGCTTGTAGTCCTTTTTTGGGAGAGAGCATGACAAGGTGACATTGTAAGAAAACTATTTGGAAACCGACAGGAAGCTGTCACTCTACAACAGGAAGTGCCTGAACAAGTATCTTCATGGCAGGATCATGAGATATTTTAATGAGAGCTGCAGATTTAAAAATCTTGAAAATGACTTTTGAAGTTGCTTAACCACTTCAAGTCCGGACACTTTTACCCCCTTCCTGCCCAGGCCAATTTTCAGCTTTCAGTGCCATCACACTTTGACAATTGCGCGGTCATGCAACACTGTACCGATATGAATTTGTTAGCATTTATTTTTTAGACAGATAAAACTTTATTTTGGTGATATTTATTCACCACTGGGATTTTTATTTTTTTTGCTATATAAATGAAAAAGTCCAAACATTTTGAAAAGTGTTTTACTTATAAAATTTTACAAAAATAATCTTTCTTCATAAATCTTGGCCAAAATGTATTCAGTTATCTTTTTTAGTAAAAAAAAAAAAAACCCAAATTAGTTTATAACCAAAAATTATGTTTCCAAATATTTTGTTTTACATTTTTATTTTATTTTTTGTATTTGTTTTTTTTTTTTTTTTTTTTTGCTGTTACCCTAGCAGTACAGTGTTGCCATAGTACTACTTGTGGGGGGTGATGAAGATTTTATTATTTTTTTTTACACTGATTGCTTTTACAGCCTTTATGGGTGGGAAAGCAATCATTTCTCCTCTCTGGCTGCATTCTTGCAGCCATTGAGAAATACTGTGTGAGCTGTGATTGGTCATTCATTCACAGATTTCACACGTAGTAAGCAATGTCAGGAAGTGACATCTTGCTTACTACTATTCATGTGATCACTGATTGGTCAATCATTGATCACATGATCGGGACACACAAAGGTCCTGTACAGCGATTGGTGTTCCTCCGGGCACCAGATCGCGGTGCTGTGCGTTCCCAGGGGGCGTGCACAAGCAGGGAGGACATTTTATAAACGGCCACCCTCTCTTGCACTGCTCCCGTCTGGCCCATGTATATAAATGGTGGTTAACATGTCGAAGGTTAAATGAGATTTTAGTGATTTGGGTTTACATTTACAGAACCTGACCATCACCATAGTAGTTAATTGGTGTAATGAAAATAATTGTAGCCATTCAAAACGTCTGCAAATTTCTAGACCTACTTGTTGTTCTGCCCATTATAACAGTACTAGACCTACGTACCTGCAACCAAACAAGACTGGACTTGGAAAATGCTATCGGATTTGGAAGTGTCACAAACAGCCACATGAAGCAAAAATATGTGCTGCATAGTTCATGTATCCATCTGATCATGTTGCTGCAGAATTTTAAACTGGAGTACATGGTTGCTTTCTGTTCTTTATGTACAGAAAATTTCTTGTAGACGTAGTTTATGTGGACGGGGGCTTGAAATGCTGTGTCATTCAGTATTATCTGGCAGAATCCTGTTCTGTACAAAATAAAGACGGTTCAGGAACTGATCAGACTGGCCGGTCTCCAGGGAAATCCAGAGTGTTTGTGCATTATGAGGATACAGATACTCATTTATCTAATGCTGAATCTACTAAATGAGCATTTCCAAAGTGCTAAAGTAAAGTGGCTAATTGACATCCCATAATGATTTGTATTAGAACACTGCTCGGCTTTTCTGAATTTACATGAGAACTTCAGTGGAAAAGTGCTTTCATTTTTTGCTGAACTTATTTTTAACAGTTTATTGTTAAAGTGCTGATTTTAAGGCAAGACTTAAATTATACTAATTTCTTTCCTTCCACTGCCGGTGAAAGGAAGGACAATCGCTAGATTCCCCCATCAACATAGTCAGTGTTGATGGGGGGAATCTCTCCCCCAGTGCTATTGTGGTCTCCCTGTGGGGAGCCCTCCTTGCCGGCAGTACGCGATGATTACTGCTAGCAGCTATAGCCTCCAAAAGTGATTGCATATGAAATCTGACAGGCTGGTTATGCTGTAGTCGTTCAAGGGATCGACTTCAGAACAGTCAGCTTGCCCATAGATGGATAGAAACCAGGCAGTAAACCAATCATAGCTACTCTCCTGGCTCCTACACAGTGACCTGTAATGGGGAATTCAAGTGACCAGCCCATCATGGGATATGAGAAGGGCAAAGCCATCATGCTGAGGCATTTCACCTTTTAAGCCGGCCATAGATAAATAGAATCTTGGCTGATCAGCGGAGACCGGTCGGGGTTCTATCCATCTATGGGCAAGCTGACTGTTGTGAAGTCAATCCCTTGAACGACTACAGCATAACCAGCCGGTCAGATTTTTTTGTATGCAATCACTTTCGGCGGGTATAGCTGCTAGCAGTGATTATCGCATACTGTCGGCAGGGAGGGCTCCCCACATTGGTCCTGATGAAGCAGACCAAGATACGCCCAGCAGCAAAACGTTTTAATGTCTTACGTCAGTGACGTCACGGCTGGCCGCATCCACTAGGTCCATGCACCTTGTTTCGGGCGGGGACACGAGGAGTCACTGTACTTTGCAGTGTAGATCACTGACGGATGGCACACTTATCTGGAGGCAGGGCTCTGCCTATAGGAGTCCCGATAAGGCGGCTGCCGTACAGACTCCCCTCAAGGAATTAACCATCCCTGGAAGGGTGACTTTTTCCCACTGGCCAACCAGGTGGTGAGTTGTTAAACTCCACTTATACCTGGATGACACGGCACTTCATACCAAGGATACAACAACGCCATACCTATTCATTGATCCCATGAGGCTTTCCTAATATTACTGTTTGACTCGCATCGAAGTCACACATTTATTTCAGCGACCAGCTGAGGAGGCTATGATTCATCCAGGTTGATCTCAGTGCCTTATCTTGTCGCCACTTTGACACACATTTTAGAATATTGACACTGCTTGCTTTGATCTATTACTAGGAACTGCCTTACCAAGTGACTTGTCCCATATCTGGGCCTGTGATTAATAACATATTGTGATAGATTTGGATATACCCATTCCATCCATCTATCTATCTATCTATCTATCTATCTATCTATTTATCTATCCGTTTTGCACTGATCAGTTATTCATCTAGTTTTCAAATATACCCCGGTGGTGCACTCCGATGTGTTTGCGGTCTTGGCAGAAGACAATTTAGTCATTGCCCATTCAGCATACCATGCATTTTGGCCTAGCTATGATGTCGTTTTTTGTTTTTTTTTTTTTTACTTCTAGGTTGTACTGTGTATACTGTCTATAGGTGAGGTGATGGCTATTGTGCAGTCTTCATTAAACCTGTTTGATACTGCAATTTTTAAAGCATTACATGTTGGTGTGCCGCCTTGTCCTTTATGTAACCGCTTTTTTGTGCACACTCTGTTCACATTGTTCTTTTTTCACAAGGTTTGTTTTGGTTACTGGACAGTATCTACTTTTAGTGGTACCCATGAACATTTTATGCCTCCATTCATTCAGTTTTTTTATAACCATGAGGCCACACCCTCACCGTTGAATCCAGTATCAGTCCTAAACTAGGGTACCCCTTGGACAGCTTGTAATGTCAGACATTACAAATAGGGGGTGGGGATTAAGCCTGGCATCGGGGATGGGCAATCTTCAACAAGCTCAGACAGCATGGGTCTCCAACATGGGGTCCAAGTCAGTTTCAAGGTTCTCCCTAAGTCTATCGGCTCCACCTTCCTCTCTAGTGTCGAAGGAGAAATTTCCTCTGCCATATCCACTATTTTGAAACAATTGGCAAGTATATGGAAGGATATGAGGCAAGGAGGACTCAAACGCTCCAGGATGCCTTCTCTGCAGGAATTCTGTGACTTTCTTCTACTGCCCCTCCAGTGGTCAGAGGAGGAAGCTTAAAACGAGCAGCCTGGGGAAGCAGTGTCATCTGCTGTGGGCAAACCTTCACAGGAAGATGCTCGGATGTCTCTCCTGCCGGTTCTAGAAGACTACAATGGGAATCCTCACCAAGGTGGCCTTCAAAAATCTTAACTTGTCAGAGCCTAAAGTGACTAGTTTAGGGTCTTGGAAGTCTTCAAGGCCAGCCCAGTCCTTACTGCTACAGCCTCATACAGAGAGGATTCTAAACTTTTATTCATTCCTTGTATTTGAAGGTTTCCATTATGTCAGATATATTAATAGTAAAAAGGTCCGGTCCGAGCATGTAGGCCCTTTACAAAATAATAGAGCGGGTGACTGGGGACAAAGAGAAGGCACATTTATTAAATACCTTCTTCAGCTCTGTGTATACAAAGGAGCATGGGGGAGCTCTTGTCCATAATGGGCATGGTATTGACACAGCTCCAGATGATCCACATTGGGTCACTATTGATATGATCCAGAAATATTTAGAATAAAGATTCCAGAGAGAGATCATATTACCCCGGTACAAATCATTAGTACCACCTCATCTGGAATATGCAGTTCAATTTTGGGCACCAATTCACAAAAAGAACATCGGGGAACTGGAGAAAGTACAGAAGGGCTACCAAACTGATAAGAGGCATGGAGGAGATCAGCTATGAGGAAAGATCAGAGGAACTGAATTTATTCTCTTGAGAAGAGGAGATTAAGGGGGGATATGATCAACATGTATAAATACATCAGTGGTTCATATAGTGAACTCAGTGTAGAGCTATTCACCCTGAGGTCATCAGAGGACAAGGGGGCACTCTTTACATCTGGAGAAAAAGAAATGTAATCTCCAAACACGGAAAGGTTTCTTCACAGTGAGAGCTGTGAAAATGTGGAATAGACTTCCTCAGGAGTTGGTTCTGGCCAGCTCAGTGGATTGCTTTGAAAAGGCCTGGAGACTTTCTTGGATACAAAGAATATAAACTGGATACTAACATTTATAGGTAACGTTGATCCAGGGAATATCTGATTTGTCTTTCAGGGGATCAGGAAGGAATCTGTGTGGATGCCTGCCTTGTGGCCATTACCTCAATTAGGACGGTTTTTTGAGTTGACAGCCTTTTCCTTTTACTTCTAAAGGGCAAAATAGTTTTGAATCCTGGAACCTCTTCCTTACCCAAGGTGCCTTCCACCTTATCCAGGACATTGTTTTACCATCCTTTGTTCTGTCACAGGACCTTCCCCCTCCACCCCCCTTCCCATGTATGTTCACTCTTTTGTTGCTTGCTTACAAAACTGAGGTATGTTGGCCATGGGAGGGGCTATACGAGACTGGGTTCCATTTTTGAAGTTTGCCAGGGTCATTCACCTGGAAGGGGGAACATAACCCAGTGGTCTAACAAATAATCTATTCCTGTGTCTTGTGATGGATTTTATAAACAAGTCAAAATCCTGTTTTAATGTTCAGCACAAACATGGGATCTTGGGTGAAGTGTCTGTGCCGAACAGTAAAGTTGACTTTCCCCTTTGGAAGGGGTGTGTGGGCTCCAGAATTTTTTGTGTGGGAGGAACAGACCCCAGAGGATTCTATAAAGCAATTAGTATAGAAAAGTGTCAGGGCATTTTCACAGTAGGATTATGTATAGCAGCAAGTGGAAGAATGTTGGGCATTTTCACAATAAGATTCTATATGACAAAGGGCAGAGAAAAGTCTCAGGAAATTACACAGAAGGATTGTGTAAGGCAACAAGTGGTAGAATGTTTCGAGGAGTGAGAGTATTACTAACCAGGGCTGTAATTTTATTTCAACAGACTTATAGTTGTGGGTTTTGTTTTCCCAAGAACAATGCATCAATAAGCAAAATAGCTGCTGCTTACATGTTTTCGTTGAAAGGTGTTTTTTAAACATGTATATGTGTCATCTCTGACAGCTTTGTGTACTCTCCTCACAGTGCGAAATGGGCCTGAGAGCGGCTGCAAGGTGATGGTTCAGTTTCCCCGCTGTCAGTCTAAGGAGCTCCCGAAGAGTGACATGTTACAGGATAACAAGTGGCAATACCTACGTGGACCTTTTAAAGAAGTTCAGTGGAACAAAATGGAGGGCCGGAATTTTGTCTATAAGATGGAATTGCTAATGGCAGCCCTAACGCCATGCTAGAACCTTCCAAACATGGACACCAGTGAGGGTGCTTGAACTCTTATTTCTAGAAAAACCAACAGGCTTCCTGCATTGTTTACGGCAAATAAACGTGTATATTTTTTTTTTCTACTGTTTTGTCCTTGTGTGTTTTTTAATTTTAGCATATTGATCTTCTATAAAGATGATGATTAACAAAATTGAAAGCTTATGACCATGCTATGTGCGCCCTCCTCCAGCTCAGCCCCAGACCCCCCCCCCCCCCCTTTCCCAGAAACAGAGATAGTTAGGCAAAAAATTGCTAGCTTCCTGATAATGCCAGGCAATTTTTTTGCCTGTCGGTCTGGCACAGATGCTTATGTAATGTATAGTGACCTAGGAGCCCAAACTTCTAGGGAGCTCACTTATGACTCACAATTGGACCATAACTATAATAGACTGTCTGTCGGTCTCAGACCAGTAATGGGATGGGGAAGGGAGCTGGTCCAGTCTTTTGACCATATAAATGATTAAGGTTTTCATAAGGCTCCACATGTTCTCTGCAAGGTGTGTAAACATGCATGCAGGTAATTCTAGGTGTCTTATTTCCATTAGTTGCTAACAATGCAGTGCAAAAGTGGTACTTGGTTACTAAACCCAACTTTAGAAATGAAAATCTAGGGAAATACGTCATATTAACAATAGTCCAGCCCTGGGTAATCCATCCTATTACCAGTATGCCTGAGTGTCCTAGGAGAATGGACCTCTTTTCGGCTAATTTAAAACTTTTATTTACGTTTTTAGGTAGCTACTTTTTCTCGCCAGTGCTTTCCAGATCTAGAGAGGTTAGCATATCCTTTGCAATTTCTATGTCTCTGAAGATACTGTTAAGTTGGCTATTTGGGCTGGCAACTGGCAGCTCCCTCATTTTTATTGGCAAGTGGACTGAGTGCTGATGTCATTACACTGGGTTTCTGCTGATTTTACCGTCCATGATGTAGTCACGAGCCATCAAATTCAAAGCTAAAGCCTTTACCACGAAGACAAACTCCCTATTCATCCTACCATCAGGCTGTCATAAGGGGCATCCTGTTTCAATGTCCACCATTGCTAGATAAGACCATATATCTCCAGAGCTTACACTCCTTGCGCTTTTACATGTTCACTCCACTGGGTCACCTGTCAAGAATCCAGCTGGATAAAGCCACATCCATGCCTTACACTAACTAGCAGGGAGGCACCATAAATCATGCCACTCAAAGGGAACTGAACTTGATCCCCTCTTGGGCAGATCTGGTTCCTGCTCTGTTGGTGTGCACATGTTAGATGTAGAAATTTTGGCATGTGGACTTTCTCATTAGTCAGCACCTTCAGGGGGACTCTGCTGTACATCTGGAGGTGTTCCAAGGCCTTTGACACAGATGGGGGATAGCATACGCACTTCTGGCATCCAAATTTAAAAACAAACTGGACAGGTATATTGCCAGGTCCAGGGACCATCAGGCCTTCGCAGAGGACATCCAGGAGACTCAATGGACTCTTCCACATGATTTATGCCATTCCAGCTTCTCCATCTGGTTTGCAGGATTGAGATGGAGGGTATTCTGGTGATTTTAAATGCATTAAACTGACCCAGGAGGGCATATTACTTAAACTCATACTCCTGGCAGACTCTTCATTGTCCCCTCCTGGATCATCTAGACCTCTTGGTCCATTATCCTGTTTCACAGTCACTGGCTTCACTGTTGAAATCCCATGTGTTTAAGGGTCATGGACCTATTGGATTTAGTGATTCCTACCAGAGTGCACAGAGCCGGTTGCGAATTCACAGAGCAGCTGTGTGGAACCCTGTTGGATGAGAAGTACTGTAAGTATTTACTCCCTTAATCCTCTGCTCCTAGACTAAAGTGGACCATACACTCCTAGATTGTAAGCTCGAAAGAGCAGGGCCCTCAATTCCCTCATGTTTTGCATTGTATTGGAATTGTTCTGTCCCCCTTTGTAATGTACAGCGCTGAGCGAACTATTGGCGCTTTATAAATACAGTAAAAAAAAAAAAATAAACTTTGAAATGTAACCAGTTCTGCAGGGAGCAGCTGGATTTCAAGCAGTGTGTGGCTATCTCTGCTCAGGGGTGGATTTATTTTTCCCTTTTCACAAAGTTTCCCTTTAAGGACAAAAGGTATTATAGCCTGGTACTGTTCTCCTTTTATCGCTACTATGTGCTACATATCGAGAAGGAAGATGGCAGATTATTTTCTACCTGTGTCAGTATAGAAATAAGATGAAGATAATTTTAGAAAAGCTGGAATTTCCAGTCTTTTCAGATTTTTATGAAAAAAAAAGCTTTAGCTATACATGTATTTCAGTGATATGTACTTATCAACAACACTCCATCTCAGACCGATTAGAAATTGAGGAAGAAATATCCCTTTAAACTTATTCCTGAAACATGTTTTGCAACAAGACAGTCAATATCCTAGCCAGGCACTAGCATTTTCAAGCATAGTCAGCAGTGGTAGCTTCCATGTTTTTCTTCTGACAGATAATTTATTATACAGTATTTATATAGCGCCAACTCTTCTCGCGGCACTTTACAATCTAAAGGGAGAGAGAGTACAGTTACAATAAAATACAAGAAGGCTTATTGGGCCCTGCTCATAAGATTTCACAATCCTAATATATTTATAAATCACATCACAGTGCACATTCGTGCTGGTTTTCAAACACCAAGATCTTCTGCCATGTAGTGAGGCAGGGTGATGTCACCTGTATCTCTCAAAAGTCCTGGAAGTCAAGTTGGAAGAGAAGTATATAAAAATAATGTGTATGTATTTGTGTGTGTGTGTGTGTGTGTGTGTGTGTGTGTGTGTGTATGTATGTATGTATATATATATATATATGTATATATACATTTTTTATCTCCTTAAAACACTGAATTTTTGGACACTTTATATTGCCCTTAAAAGGCAATCATTGTTTCAGGCAAGTACTGTATATTTGTCTAGGCTGAGATGATATCATCAATCTGCATGCAAGCAGTGATTCCTGTGCTGACTTTACCTCTTGAAATTCCTCCCCTCAGCACCTCTAGTTCAGAAGGCAGGCTCTGTGACATGTGTGACACAGCAGTGCTTACATGGCATAGTAACTGTGTCACAGAATTCAAGGAAGTTAATGTGTGGAGGTCTTCATAAAGTAAAGCTGGCCATACACATATAGATGTTTGTTAGAAAATCAAACAAATATTCTTGAAAAAAAATTCTTAAATTGTTAGTGGGGTCAAATCGATGTTTGTTTTAGACAGCAGTGATGGGAAAATTTGAAGGGCAACTACTTGATTAAACATAATTTCGGCCAGTGTATGTCGTTATCGTTCAGAAATTACATTCATTTTAAAGTTGAATGTTAAAAGCAAAAGACTATATTTGAACGGCATTCATGCATTGATCGAATGTTCTAAGATTTTTTGTACAACTTTTTCTTACAAATATTTCTCTGTAAACTTACACAGGCTGGCCATGCATGTGCCTAAATTTTCAAAGTTCAAGGTTGTTCAGATTATTAGAAGTAGGCTAGAAATAATGGAACTACAATGTTGAAATATATTATTTAAAATTTTGATCATAGATAGTCTAACTCTAGAAGATGTTCATGGTCTCGATTTGAGCTCTGTCATGGGTGAAAACACATTGGAGGTGAGGCTGTAGCTGGAGGATTTTGCAATGTGAGTGGTCATTTACAGTGCTTTCAAAAGGCATTCACACCTGTAAAAGCTTTTTTCTTTTTTTTTCAAACTCCAATCAGGTTTTCATGGGTTGTGCACTGAGCAAAGGCTTCCATTTAGCCACTCTGCCATAAATCCCAGATTGGTGGAGGGCTGCAGTGATGGTTGTCCTTATGGAGCTTTGTCTTGTCTCCACACAAGATCTCGACCTCAGAGTGACTGTCGGGGTTCTTAGTCACCGCTCTTACGAAGGTCCTTCTCCAGTTGCTCAGTTTGGCCAGGCGACCAGCTCTTGTAAGAGTCCTGGTTGTGCCAAACATCTTCCATTTGAGAATTATGGAGGCCACTGTGCTCTTGGGAACCTTCAGTGCAGCAGAATTTTTTTGTGCCTTGGAATAATCTCATCTCTGAGCTCTGCAGGCAGTTCCTTTTAACCTCATGGCTTTTGTTCTGATACAGTGCGCATTGTCAGCAAGGCCTTTTTATACAGAGGGGTGTGCCAAATCATTGTCTTAATTTAATTTACCACAAGTGGACTCTGATCAAGGTGTAGAAACATCTCAGCAAAGATCAAGAGAAATGGGAGACACCTGAGCCAAATTTCAGGTGTTCCAAAGGGTCTCAAAACTTATGCTAATGTGGTAATTTAGTTTTTTATTAAATTCACAGACCTTTCTAGAATTCCATTTTCACTTTGTTATAATGGGGTACTGAGTGTAGATTAATGAGAAGAAAACATTATTTTAAACAACTGTAGTATCAGGCTGCAACATAACAAATTTGAAACAAGTGAAGGGGGTCTGAATGCACTGTGGGGTTTATTTACTAAAGCTGGAGAATGCAAAATCAGGCTCACTTTTGCATAGAAACGAATCAGGTTCTAATCTCATCTTGTTCGATTAAGCCTTAGCAAGAAAACCTGGCAGCTGGTTGGTTTCTATGCAGAAGTGAGCCCGACTTTACGCTCTCCAGCATTAGCCAATAAACTCCTGTATCTGCTTGTCTGATAAAACCATTTGGAAGTTTGAAAGGCCATTGGTGTTGGGCCCATCTTCTAGAGTTCGAGTGATAAAGTGGGCTTTGGCACCCAGTTTGTCCATGAGATTGAGAGGAGCAAAGGTGGCTTTGGTAGCAATGGGACATGCTGATCATCATCTAACTGCTTGATCATAGATACACTTTACATTACAAAATGGTATGTGTGGCAAACTTATATGCTATGAAAGTGGAATTCCTCTTCAACCACACCTATAAAATGCCGGTCAGAGAAAAATGTACAGTTGTATTCAATATAATAGCAGTCAGACATCACTAA